ATTTGATAAAAAATAAAATAATGATTTTTTATTTGCTGTTATTAAATATTTGGGCTTGAGTTTGGTAAAAAATAAAAAAAAAATTAATAGAAAAAATATTTGGGTTTTTAATGGGTTTAAGTTTTAAAAATCAAAATAAGTAGATGAGATGTATTAATAAAATGTTTTGATTGATGATTATTTTTGCTGAGGTGTCATGTTTATAAAGCTTAAAAAAGCTGAGATGTCAAGCAATGGAGAGACTTTAATGTTATTGTTGTGTTGATTTTTACGGATATTCAGATTATTCTTCTTTGTAATATAAATGAGATTTTTGAAAAGATGGAGAACATAGATAATTTAAATGTTGTACTAAACGTAATTATTTCGTTTATTATATTATTTTCCTCTGTAGATTTCTAATATATTGATCCGACTTATATAGTTATATATATCATATATGTGTGCAATCAACTATTTTAGAATTCTATATCCATTATTGTATATTCGTTTATAAAATTGAGAACCACAGTATTCCGAACACTGTTTTACTCTTTATATAATATCAACAAATAGTTTACGATGATATAATTAAACTTATTTGTAAAAGTGGAAGACAATTTGTGTTTAATATTTTAAGATGATTACTATATATTATAATCATTTATAACTCATGCAACCACGTAGAAATTTCCAAATTAATTAATTCATTCTTCCATATATTTCATGCATTTTACTTAACTTCCCCGTTATTAGTTTACATATATCATTAGTATTTTACTATTTGACGAATATAATTTATATTGATCATACTGGAAAAAGATAATCTCTTCCAAAACTAGAAAATCAAAAGTTCTTAAGAATCTGCGACGAACCATAGAAAACATAATTGGAAGTGAGGAAGCCAACACAAATTAATGCAATATCTAGATGTGGAGAACCAGATATCGGTTTAATGTCTCTGCTTTACTTTCATTAGTAAACGTTTATCCTTATTTTATACGATTTATTTCCAAATATTCAAATTACTTTTTTTCATGGTTTTACCAATCGTAATCTTGTGAAACTTTAACCACATGTTGAAATTCAGATTGTTATACATCATGCACCATTCTATATAAACCACAACTAAATTTTGCTAACTGTATATAGTTTCTTTTGTACACAAAGTATAACCCAAAAAATCGTGTTCTTCGTTAGAGTTTAAAGAAATGGTGAGGATGGCTCCCATTTGTCTCTTTAATGTCAACTAGGGATGTTTCCACGCTACGCGCGGATTGTTTTTATATAGATATTTAATTATTATTTAAGTTAAATTATTTTCACTTTAAATTAATATTTTAAATATAATATTTAATTTTTAAAATTGTTTTGATATGATTATACATCAAAAATATTTTAACGTATTCAAAAAATGTATCATGATATAATTTTAAGAATTACCTACTTGATATATGCTAAAATTAACTGTTAATCTAAAACTTAATATTTGTATATAAACTCACTGTTATTCACTACTAACTTTCAAAATATCATTAAAATTATTTTTGTTTTGATTAAATTTGATTATTATTGTTTCAATTAATTTAGATTTTTATTTTTATTTCAACTGTGTTCGTATAGTGTTTTTATTTAATTAGCAATCTCAAATACAAACAACACTCAATGTTCTAATCTCTTATAAATCTATAAAATAACTATGATTCATATAAATAAATATAATATTTACATAGTATAAAAAATCACAATCATATTGATAAAATGCAATTTTGATTTGGTTTATGAAGTATACGTAAACTATAAAAAATATAGATGAATAAGGCAAGTAATACATATACAAATACAATTTCATACTAACTCATTATGTTAAATAAAGTATGTTGAGTTTCTCAAAACTCAAAAGATGTAAAATTTTTTGCTTGTAATTTAACTTAAACATTTTTTCTTAAACTACACATATAATTTTGATGAGCTTTTATAATTAAACTAATAATATATATTATATTATTTTTAAAGGAGTCTCTTAACCCAGTAAAAAAAAACCATATTAGTTTTTTCATTCAAGTTGGGTTTATAAGGAATTTTGTTGATGTGGATAATTAGAGATTTTTTTTAGACATTTTCTTCTACATAAAAATATGTATGTTATTTTTTCAAAAATGCATTATTATTTAATTTAAAAATTTACTAACTTGATATATATAAAAATTAACTGTCATCTAAAACTTAATTTTTGTTTATAAACTGTTTAACTCATGTGTTGACATGTATCGCTTGTAGTAACTTGACTACCTTAAGCCAACTAAGACACACATTGAATAAATATCAGTGCATGAAATTCTTCTTTTGTCTATCATTTTCTGCAATGTAAATAGTAACGATTATCGAAATCTTCATATAGATAGATGCTTTGAAAAGCTTCCTATAATTTATGTTGTCTTGTTGGTTGCCATAAATCTAACGTACTATGATGTTTAATCTGTATGTTTCTAAAGGGTGAATGTTTTAGATTTTTATAATTTGTAAATGTTTTAAATTTTATTTTAAAAATTATTATTTTGTAATCTTGTTTCTATTAACTATTATTTAAGGTTTTTAGAGCAATTTATTGTCCAATATATTTACTATATTACAAAAAGGAGTATATATTAATGCTACAGATTTAAATAATATTTATTTTACTGATTTAGAAAATAATATTTAGTTTTATTTACTTATTCCTAATAACTATATTAACTTAGTGGTTCTATTTATTTATTTTATGTGTATTTCAAAAGATATAAAGTAAAATTGTTTTATTATTGTTATATTACAAACAAAAGAAGTATATATTGATGCTATAAATTTAAATGATGTTTATTTTACTGATTCAAAAAATGATATTTTAATTTTATTTATTTTTTTGGTAACTATATTAATTTTAGTGACAAAAATGAGTATATATTAATGCTACAGATTTAAATGATATTTATTTTACTGATTAAAATGATATATAATTTTATTTAGTTTTTGCTAATAACTATATTAATTTAATGGTTCTATTTATTTAGTTTTTGCTAATAACTATATTAATTTAATGGTTCTATTTATTTATTTTATGTGTATTTCAAAAAATCTAAAGTGAGAATTTTTATTACTGTTAATTTGTTATATTACAAACAAAAGAATATATATTGATGCTATAGATTTAATTAATATTTATTTTACTGATTCAAAAAATAATATTTTATTTTTATTTACTCTTGTATTTATCTATACTAATTTTGGTTATATTTATTTACTTTATGTGTATTTCAAAAAAATCTAAAGTGGGAATTTGTATTATTATTTTTTGCTGATGTGTCATATTTTTAGAGTAGTTTGAAAAGCTGAGGTGAATAGCTTAAGGAGCCCCAAATAGTTCCTTTTATTTTTTTGTTTATAAACTGTTTAACTCATGTGTTGACATGTATCGCTTGTAGTAACTTGACTACCTTAAGCCAACTAAGACACACATTGAATAAATATCAGTGCATGAAATTCTTCTTTTTTTTTATCATTTTCTGCAATGTAAATAGTAACGATGATCGAAATCTTCATATAGATAGATGCTTTGAAAATCTTCCTATAATTTCTGTTGTCTTGTTGGTTGCCATAAATCTAACGTACTATGATGTTTAATCTGTATGTTTCTAAAAGGTGAATGTTTTAGATTTTTATAATTTGTAAATGTTTTAAATTTTACTTTAAAAGTTATTATTTTGTAATCTCTTTTCTATTAACTATTATTTAAGTTTTTTAGAGCAATTTATTATCCAATATATTCACTATATTACAAAAAGGAGTATATATTAATGCTACAGATTTAAATGATATTTATTTTACTGATTTAGAAAATGATATTTAGTTTTATTTACTTATTCCTAATAACTATATTAACTTAGTGGTTCTATTTATTTATTTTATGTGTATTTCAAAAAATATAAAGTGAATTTTTTTATTATTGTTATATTACAAACAAAAGAAGTATATATTGATGCTATAAATTTAAATGATGTTTATTTTACTGATTCAAAAAATAATATTTTAATTTTATTTACTTTTGTTGGTAACTATATTAATTTTAGTGACAAAAATGAGTATATATTAATGCTACAGATTTAAATGATATTTATTTTACTGATTAAAATGATATATAGTTTTATTTAGTTTTTGCTAATAACTATATTAATTTAATGGTTCTATTTATTTATTTTATGTGTATTTCAAAAAATTTAAAGTGAAAATTTTCATTATTGTTAATTTGTTATATTACAAACAAAAGAGTATATATTGATGCTATAGATTTAAATAACATTTATTTTATTGATTCAAAAAATAATATTTTATTTTTATTTACTCTTGTATTTAATTATATTAATTTTGGTTCTATTTATTTACTTTATGTGTATTTCAAAAAAATCTAAAGTAGAAATTTGTATTATTATTTTTTGCTGATGTGTCATATTTTTAGAGTAGTTTGAAAAGCTGAGGTGGATAGCTTAAGGAACCCCAAATAGTTCCTTTTATTTAGTATAGATTTTCTAACTGTTTCTTCTTCTGTCTAAATGCAATACTTATTATGGCCCTCCTTATTACTAATCAGCTAAAATAAGAATCCTTGTAACAAATTAAATGAGCAGAAAACATGCATTGTAATAATCGTTTGTAGTCGAGAAAAGATAACTAAATTTTGTTTTTGTTGTTATCATATTTATTATTTCTCTTGATATATATCTTTTTTTGTTAAAGTTTTCTACTATATTTAATGCAATTTTTGTTTTGTTAATATTATTCTCTATAAACATTTCAATTACAAAATTTGTTTAAATAATACCAAAATAATGTCATTCCTACTTGTTTTGATATTGACACCACAAATATAATTTTTTTTCTCCCCATAATATTACATTTGCTTCTTTTTAAAATCGAAATATTACATTTGTTTATTCAAATTCAAACATATATAAAAGAACTCTTCATATATCTCAACGGGGTGTATACTAATCATAATCATGATCATAGTCTTCATCACATAGTGTATCCAAAATACTTTTAGCAGAGGACGAGTCCGACCCCACGAACCGGTTTAGCTTATCCTCAGCCCACCACGCCGTTGCATGTAGCTTACGACGACCCTTAGATTTGTCGGCCGACTTGGTAGCTGGCGATACGTGGCAATTACTGTACTTGGACCTTTCACATTTCCCGGTAAACTTGGAGTGGTTAGTCGGTTTTGATGGCACTTTGGTAAAAACTCCAAAAGCTGGTGGTGAACCGGACCGGTTCACGAAGTGGTTTGTGGGTCGCCGATTAAATTCCGACGAAAGAATCATGCACGTCCGAACAACACCGTGTTGATGACCTTCCTTCTTCATTTTTGCTTCTTTTGATTTGAGACTTGATGCTTTGTAGAATTAACATTGTGTTCATATATATATGAAGAGAGAGAGAGAGATACTTGAGGAGCAAACCGAATGTGTTTGGGACACAAGAAAATGCGAATAGTCAAACATACTTTGGCAACAAGAAATTCTCATTATATTAATATTTAGATTTCAAAGCTTGGCTTTTGTTTTGGTCAACCTTTATCTACGGAATATTTTTTTTAATATTATAAACATTTTCGTTGTTTTTCCTAATTTTTTTCGACAACCTGTTTTATGTGTTAGTCTAATGATGTTTTACAAATTTCATTAAATCGGTTTATATATTGATAAATACACAAAACATTTTTAAATACGCAATTCCACTATCTTTCTACGACTCAATTTAAGAGATTAGAAAGACAATTGAATTTCGGCATGCGAGGAAGTAGTTTCAAGGCAATCCTACACGTAGATCTCCAATTATTGAAAGCATATTTTGTAGTTGTAGAGAAGAAACAAATATATATATTTCAAGATCGTTTGCGGGTGTTTTAAGTCGGTTTTCAATTAATTACTATATTTTCTCTTTTCAAAAGTCGTTAGAAGGTAATTTGACCGAAAAACATAATTTGAAGGTTTTTGGATAAAAATAGCACCACTATAAGTATTAGATCAGATTAGATAAGTACCAGTATGATGTGCGGATTTTTTTTCACAATATAATTTATTAAAAAGTGTAGTTATAATTTATTTTATCATATATATTTTTTTTAAAGAATATTATATATTTAAATAAACATACAATACATATTTACATATTATGTAGATATTAACTATATATGTGATCAATGGTTTATTGATAAAAAAATGTGAAATATATTATATCTTGTATATATAGAATATATTAAATGGATATAGTGCAAATCAGAGAAGTACTATGTAACAAAAATTAATTAGAAAAACTTTTCAAGCATAACATAAATATTGACGACTCTTTTTAACAGGTCGTACTTGTTCACAGCGTATATTTATACAATAGTAATGCTGTGGTTTTATATTTTTATGAGCTTAAATAATTGATTTATAATTCTAATTTATATAGCTGCATTAAATATTTTATAAATATATATATATTGAGATTCTTGCAAAATGACCTAAAATTTGATTTGAATTATAAATCTAACCCACAAAAATCACCTTCCCAACATTTGCCATTTTGTGTCCAAACAATCCTTCATAGTTTCAGTTATTCACGAAATTGCTATTATTTTTAATTAATTTCTTTTATTTTCGGAAATCCAAATGACCAACTAATCCTCATCTTCCTCACTTATTTACGAAAATGCTCAGAAAATAGACTTCTCTCGGTCCGAATGAAGTATACTAGTCAACGTCCAGGTTAGTTTTGCAATTGACCGCATGTAAAAGTAGACTTCTTTTGGTCTGAATGAAGTCTACTCCATTTCCTTTGATAACAAAAAAAATGGAGTAGACTTCTCGAGTAGACTTCTTTAGAAGCAGGTCATTTTTGCAATTGACCAATCTTTGACTTTGTAGAATAGACTTCTCTATGCAAAGTAGACTTCTCCGGAAGTCTACTTTCGTAAGTAGACTTCTCGCAGGTCAATTTTGCAATTGAAAAATATTTGACTTTTTGGTCAATTGCAAAAATGACCTGCGAGAAGTCTACTTACGGAAGTAGACTTCTCGGAAAAGTCTACTTTTCAGAGTAGACTTCTCGGAGAAGTTTACTTTCGCAAGTAGACTTCTCGCAGGTCATTTTTGTAATTGACCAAAAAGTCAAATATTTTTCAATTGCAAAAATGACATGCGAGAAGTCTACTTACAGAAGTAGACTTCTCCGAGAAGTCTACTTTCGCAGGTCTTTTTTGCAATTGACCAAAAAGTCAAATATTTTGCAATTGCAAAAATGACCTGCGAGAAGTTTACTTACGAAAGTAGACTTCTCGGAGAAGTCTACTTTTCATAGAGAAGTCTACTAATATTTTGGCAATTGCAAAACTAACCTGCGAGAAGTCTACTTTCATCCGAGAAGTCTACTTTTCTTGTTTTAAAAAAAAAATCATTTTTATACAATATATAACGAATTTTTAAGATTTTCGTGATCATAAGCTTATGTTATTAAGTTTTCTTGCTTATGTATAAGTTTTGCATGTTTATATTTTAGGGAGGATAACTGTACTAACTTTAGAAAGTGAGTTTATAACTAGAAAAACCTAAAAGTTTTTTTATTACTAATTTAACCTATGGTACCGATATTACCCTTAGGTTCTTTGTTAGGAAAAACGTATATTTCGAAATTGCCATTACTTTGAAGTTGCCACGTTATTCTGTTTAGGAGATATGTTGAATGTCGTATTGCCTCTCCCCATAGGTAGTTTTGCACGTGCATATGCTTCAGTATGCTTTTCGCCATCTCCATTAATGTCCTGTTACATCTTTCAACAACACCATTCTGTTGAGGGCTGTAAGGGGCAGTGAGGTGACGCTTTATACCCGCTTCATCGCAAAAAGAGTTGAACTCCTGTGATACGAACTCTCCACCTCTGTCTGTTCGAAAAGTCTGTATACTAGCTCCTGAATCTTGTTCCACCAGTCGTTTAAAGCTTTTAAACTTGGTGAAGGCTTCGCTCTTCTCTCTCAGTAGGAACGTCCACATGTATCGGGAATGATCGTCAATGAGGACAAATATATATTTGCTTCCACCAGCTGTACTTGGTGTTATAGGACCGCAGAGATCTCCATGTATAAGTTCGAGTACTTTGGTTGCTCTAAACGGAGTGGCTTGCGGGAAGACTTTCCTTGTTTGCTTTCTGTATAGACAGGAACCGCATATCTCCTTTCCAAAAGGTATACTCGGGATTCCTCACACAAGTTCCTTTTGAATCATGTTCTTTATTGTTTCACGGTTTACATGTCCAAGTCTTGCGTGCCATATACTTGATTTGCTTGCTTCAGTTAAATATAATCGCGCCTTGTCTCTTAGTCCCATATGTAATTTATACAAACGGTTCCTTGATCTCTCTGCTTTGACAAGTAATTTTTCATCCTGATCATGCATTGTCATATGTCCTCCTCTTAGCCTTATGTCACAGCCTGATTCTGTGGCTTGTCCCAAGCTGACGATATTACTCTTTAGATCCGGTATGTAGTAAACATCGAGCATAACTCTAGGTTCTCCGTTCATGTCAATAAAGGAAATTGTGCCTTTTCCTTTTATATTTATTCGTGAGTCATCTCCGAAGCGTACTTTTCCAGTAACAGACTCATCTATTTTATCGAAATACCTTCGATCTCCTGTCATATGGTTACTGGCTCCATTGTCGAGATACCATATATCTTCGTCATTGTTGTTGTCCTCGTACTTTCTTGGAATGACTTTCTTCTCGTTTAAGTAGACCACCTCATGCATCATGAGTTCGTCTACGTCTTGTGTATTATTAATGTCTTCTTCTTGAGCCTCTTGTAGTTTGAGCAAACGATCAGGACAAACAGAGGCGTAATGGCCTAATTTATCGCAGCGAAAACACATCACCTTTGATGTGTCTCTTCCACCATTACGTCCTCCTCGACCTCTGCCTCTGCTATGTCCACCTCGCCCTCTACCTCTGTATTCTCCATTATTATCTCGGTTTGATTGGTAGTCGCGGTTGGATTGACCAGTTTACTCGGATAGGTACATGAGTTTGCTTTGATCCTCGTGTGTATCTTCCTCCTCAAAGATACGTTCTTTGTACGCTTTTAACCGTCCCACTATATCTTCATAGCTTGTAGTGTTCAGATCCAACACTTGCTCCAATGAGGCCACGATGTGTATATACTTCTGCCGAGGAAGACTTTTAAGAAATTTCTTCACCAGTTTTGGTTCTTCGATAATCTCTCCGAGTGCTGCGGATTTTGATGATATTTCAGATATCTTCCCGGCGAAGTCATCAATTTTGTCTGTGTCTTTCATCTTCATCCGATCGAACTCAGCCATCAATGTTTGTAATCTTGCTTTCTTCACTCTTTCTGCTCCCACATGTCTAGATTTGATCGCCTCCCATATCTTCTTTGCTGTATCGAGCTCTCCTACTTGCAGGATAAGGGTTTCAGGTATCGACTGAAATAGTAAAGCAATCGCCATGTTGTTCTTCTCTATATCAGGTAGATCCGTCTCCTGCTCTATGACCTCCCATACCTTGTGAACTTTGAGTGTTATTCTCATTCTCATAGCCCACACGGTATAGTTGGTTGTATTGAGCATAGGGCAAGTGATCGATGAGAGTCCTCCTCCTTCTTTGGGTTTCGTTGATGTAGATGCGACAATATCTCCCATGTTTGATCAAAAAATTCTGAAGCTCTGATACCAATTATTGTTTGTAACAAGAACTTAAGAACTCAAGATCAAAGATTCAATCAGAATAACTCTCTTATTAGTTTAAGGAAACTCTCTCAAAACCTTAAACTATCAATCTCTCTTAAGCTTAATGTCACAACTCGACATTGCTTATATAGCCACTAGACAAATCCTAATTCTATTAGAGAATGCATTAGATAACTCCTAAAACATCTCCTTCTAATCCTAAACAGTTTAGGTATCCTTATCTTAATAGAACTAGGGTAGCTTGCTTCTCAAGCTTATTCTAACAGAAGTGGCATTCATATGGAGAGTATTTGCCATTTTTTATAGTATAGATTAGGGTTTTTCACAAACTTTTTTATGCATCAATTTGAGAGTCTAGAAAGATAATTGAATTTCAGTACGCAGCAAAATGGTTTTAAGGCAATCCCGTACGTAAATCTCCAACTCTGCACTAATCATTGAAGATATGTTTTATAACAGCAGAGAAAAAACATACATTTATTTCAAGATATTTTGTGGGTGTTTTAACTCGGTTTTTAATTAATTTACTATATTTTTACTTTCAAAAATTATGAGAAAATAATTTGGACGAAAAAAATGTTTTCAGAACTTTTTGGATCAAAACAGCATTTTGACATCTTTCAACCATCATATGTATTTGATCAGATGGGGTCTTTCACTAATTTTTTTATGGTTCATTTTCAGAGACTAGAAAAACAATTGAATTTTGATATGCGGCTAAGTAATTTCAAAGCAATCTCACACATAGACATATTTTGTAGCTGTGAAGAAAGAACAAATATTTTTTCGATCTATCAAGTTTATTTATTTGCTTCAGTTGAAAAATAATCGTTTTGAACTATTCGTTTTCCAAACAATATATGTTTTTCACCTTTTCTCATCCACTCTCTCTTTATTTTATATTATTTTCCTTTTTTAAATAATTAGATTACCGATGATAGTGCTCTACCGGCATCGTTTTAACGGACATCAGCATTATTCCGGCGACGGAGGACAAAAAGTTGGAGGTCGTATGCAACAATGTTGGTGGTACCATCCAGAATACAAATCCCTCCGGTGTCTTGTCTATCCAAACTTTAATTTTTACTTTTATAGAAATATGATAACTTTTATGAAAATGATTATATGTTTCTATGTGTGTGATGAGATCACAAAGCTTGAGATTGAAGTTTTATTAAGTACTTGAAGATTGACATATTAAATAAGCAGAAAACATGCAATCTAAAATTCGTTTGTAGTGGCAAATGTCGAGAAAAGAAAACTAAATTTTGTTTTTGTTGTTATCATATTTTATTATTTCTCTTTATATATATTTTTACTTGGTTAAAGTTTTTTACCCATTATATATATAGTGGAATTTTTTTTTTTGGTTAATACGTATGCTGTATAAACATTTCAATTACAAAATTTGTTTAAAGAATACTAAAATAATATCATTCCTATTTGTTTTGATATTGACACAACAAATATATTTAAAAAAATCCCCATGATATTACATTTGCTTCTTTTTTTAATCAAAATATTACATTTGTTTATTCAAATTCAAATATATATAAAAGAACTCTTCATATATCTCAACGCGATGTATACTCGTAATCATGATCATACATATGATCATCATAATCTTCACCACATAATGTATCCAAAATACTTTTAGCAGAAAACGAGTCGGATCCCATGAACCGGTCTAGCTTATCCTCAGCCCACCACGTCGTTGCTTGTTGATTACGGCGACCCTTAGATTTGTCAGCCGATCTGGTAGCCGGTGACACGTGGCAATTTATGCACTTGGACCTGTCACATTTTCCGGTGAACTTGGAGTGGTTAGTCGGTTTTGATGGCACTTTGACAAATTCTCCAAAACCTGGTATTGAATCCAACCGGTTCACGAAATGGTTTGTGGGTCGCGGACTACATAACGACGGATGAGTCATCCACGTACGAACAACACCATGTTGACGACCTTCCCACTTCATTTTTGCTTATTTTGAATTGAGCCTTGATGCATTGTAGAATTAACAAAATGTGTTCATATATATAGAGAGGCATATACTTGAGGAGCAAACCAAATGTGTTTGGGACACAAGAAAATGTGTATAGTCAAACATACTTCCGCACCAAGAAATTCTCATTAATATTATATTTCAAAGTTGGTTTTGGTCGGCTTTTGTCTAGAGAATCAAAAATTCTTTTCAATATTATAAACATGTTCGTTGTACTTCCTGATTTTCTTCGACAATCTGTTTTTAAGTATGTCATTATGTGCTAGTCTAATGTTGTAGACGAACTTTTTTAGGACTATAGTTAATGTATATTAGATGATAGAGGTTGAAAACGGATTATGTGGTCTCGTTTAATTTTTTCTCATAAGCTCAAAGAAGGTGGGGCAAAGGTGCAATTGCACAAAAGATCCATGTTTTTGGGAAAAATACTACGACCCAATTTGTTTTTGAATTACATATATATAGAATCCAAATATTTCTAGTGATTATATTAAACTCGAAATATTTAATCAAAATGGCTAAAGAATTTTAAAAAGGAATAAAATAACTAATGTTTAGTCAACTAGAAAATAATTAAGTTAGCGACTACTGAAAGCTATGGCTTGAGAGGATGTTCAGATTGAGAAGCCATGGATATCTATATCGTTAGGTATGCAAAATAGCTTTTTGACGAGAGATAGGATAATCTGTCACACTGATGGCTTAAGAAAACAAAGAGAACCAAATGTAGGATTGGGGTAATTTAGTCAAGGAGTGAGAACGGTAGATACATTAATGGGAGCACATAATATATGTCGCAGCATTTTCCCGTTACATACAAAACTGGAAGCATTGATATGGGTAATGCATTGTATGCTTGATGCTAGAAAATTAGAGGTGGATTTCGTCACAGATAATTCTGAATTGGTGAAGATGGTGTCTGAACCAGCGGAATAGCCGGTGTTCGCATTATACTTGGAGGAATATGAAAGAGGTAAACAGGAGTTTGAATATTTTTCAATATCAAAGATCTCACGTGAGCAGAACACAAAGGCGGATAAGGTAGCACGGAATGCTCGAGATCACATTTATTAACTTTATTATGTAAACTCAGTTCCACCAATCTGATTCACTGAATCATTTTAGGAATATGAGACTATTGACAAAAAAAATAATTGATTAATGTTTAAATTTTTTTAATAATTTATTCGTTTGTAAAATGGATACATTTATCGCATGAATAATATTATTAATTTCTGTTTCTTTTATTAAAAGCATCTCATTAATCATATTATTAATTGGCAAGCAAGTTGGGATGTGGTTGAGAGTTATAACAATTGATTATGTTTTATTCTTTATGTGAAAAGACGTGATTTATCCTTAATGAAATTAGTTAATTAAAATAATTTGGTTTAAAATTAATTTATTAAAATAAAAAATATCAAATAATCAAAACGAATATTCTATATACTTAAAACTTATCATAGAGAAATATAAATGCCTAAACCTAAATAACTTCTCTTATAAATACTTGTGTCTTTTCTAATATTGATTAGGTTATATGTTGTCTTTGCTGTAGGGTTAGTCGATAAGTTTTCTTTCTGTGTTCTTTTATTGTTACTGCATTATGAGTTTCATATGTTTTCTATACGAGAGATGTTTGTTTTTGGTTGCTTCAATTGTTTTTCTTGAATTTGATATGAATTTGTTTTTTTTTGTAGATGAGGGAGAAAATATTCTAATGGAGAAAGTTCTTTTGATGGCTATTGGTTTTAGTCTCGCTTCAATATCAATTTTAACTATTCTTTTTCAAATAGGTATAGATCTCATTGCACTCTTAATATCGAAAGCATCAATTTCATTCATATGGTATATACTGTTTTGATTTATTTATAATATATTAGGTTCATAGTTTTTTATATATATTCTGTCTTTTTATTTTATTTTATATTTAGTTCATAAGAGTATGTGTAATGCAATGCAAGAAACTCTAATGGATTCTTAGTTAATATTTAATTATAATTTTTTTGTTAAAAATATTTGTTAAGATAATTTTATTTTCTATGCTCCAATGGTAGAATCTTAGAAAGATCATAAGCACCTCTAACAATAAACAGAGTTTTGGTCCACGGCATCAAAATATTCAAACAGAGAGATGTGTTTTCTGGGATTGAGGGTTTGCAGTGTGTTAGCGTGTTGGATATCGGCTTCTAGAGCTTTAAGAGAATCCTTGAAAGACAATTTGGCCATGGCAAAGTGAATCTCCTAGAAAATAATTCACAGCAAAACGAACAGAGAATCGAGAAGTAAACAAAGATTTAAAGCATACTGAACGGGAGAGGTAAAACAAAAAAGAAAAATCTCAAAGCTTCCTCTTTTCGGAGTTCACCCAAACCCATAGTTGGTCTTTTGGTCTTGGAAAAGAGGTGAAAAGGAGAAAACGAAAGGGACATTGACACGTGGTAGGTAAAAGCCGATTCTTAAATCCCTTAAGTAAGAAATGATTATTCTCTTGTTAACTATTTCACATTTAATTAAATGCTTTATTATCTTAAGAATTCTTCTTAACATCCCCCGTTGAACATGGTCTAATTGTTTTTGAAAATATTTACACACGTTATTTTTGTTAAACGGCTAAAGATGTCATTTTGTTTTAGGATTTTTTCTATATGATATGTTAAATCTAGCATGTTGTCTTTCTTAAAGGAATTCATATTTGTGATCTTCAAGGACGAGATATCTATAAGAAATGCTGTTGAAGAGATGAACATACAAGAATTTTATGATCGTAACACTACCATGAACGATACTCGGTCAAAGAAGCGGCTGTGAAGAAAATCTATACTTTTAATACCAACATAGGTGAATTGACATTACTCAAGGTAAGAAAAAACCTTTCATATATACTCTCTAATAGAAATATTTTTTGTAACTAGGTTTAGTCAGTATTGATTTTTTTTGTTTTTTGATTCTTGGTTTTCTAATTTTTTGTAATTATTTATTTTGATGTATGATGAATTAGAAAAAGAAAACTTATCTAACGTAATCCCCCATCTAATCGTTCTACACATTACTTGATATATGGAATACCTTTGGATTGCATATATGAAGATGACAAGATCAGAGAAGAAGTTGATAAAGAAGGTCTTGGAACTAAAAAGACTGATCGTGATAATGAGGATGAATGATTATGTAATAGTGTTGAAAGTGATGACAATAGTTATGATGAAGATGAAGATGGTGGTGACGATGTGGTAGAAAACAATGGGAATTGTGGTGAAGATATAATGGTAAATATATAAAAAAGAGCATGATGTAAAAGAATTGCATAGTTTTCTAACAAATCATGTTTTATTTTTCTTATATTAGCCATCTAGATTTCATATAGTGTTTCTTATATATATATATATATATATAGATATAGAAAAGAGAGATTCATAAACCATGTTTTGGCTGCTGAATATGGAAATTAATTAGCAAAATGAGATATTGTGTTTCTTATGAAACAATTTATGTTTTACCTTTTACTCTTTAATTATCTTTGGTGTGAAATAGATTTTTACTTCACTATAGAATATGTCTTGCAACTTTTAAAAGCTATTTATGACTACAAGATTTGAATCAAAATAACTTTTATAGTCCTACAGTTTTGTATATATGTCTCTTTTTTTTTATATATCAACTCTCAATCATAATTCTATTTTTGACATCCTATCATAGCAAATCATGATTCTTAATCACTTAGTGAAATTTTGTGCCAACAATGATTCTAATGAATGATAACTCCTTTTCAGGTTGTTACATTGTTAGAATATTTTCAAGATTGTGTGTCTATATTAACTATTTTCTGATTTTTACGGTACCTTAACAATATTTCTGTTTGTTAGTGGAGGTCGGATAACATTTCCATCTTTTTGAAAAATTGCAGATAGAATTCCAATACAGGTTTGTATTATCACATACTATTTTTTTAGAACATGTTCATTTGATAAATTCTAACTTATATTATATTGTTTATTAGTTTATAAGTCGGATACAATCTAGAAAAGATAGTTAGAGTATAATTTAGAGGTGGCGTCTAATGGTTAACACATCTACATTGATGTTATGTAAATATTTTTCGATCAATCTCATATTTTGAATTTTTTTTTTAAATTTTTAATCAATTTTATATTGAAAAATATTATAATAATAATATTAAAATTTATTTTATCCGTACAAGGCGCGGAAAAAGGCGCGGAAAACCACGTAGTTCAAAGAAAACTTTTTGTCGAATCTTTCTACTGTGATTTCGATCTCTCCGTTCTTTTATAAACTCTGGAAATGAGTCTTATATCTTGGTAGAAACCTCATTTTACTATTAAAAAAAAAAAATAAAATAAATAAAAAAGGTTAATGAAGATGAAAAATAACAATGTGCTTCGTTGATTCGCAGATTTTGTTTCACAAATCAAAACTACCCACGTGGATGTATCAACCAATAAAAACCTTCCAGCCTGGACGACCAGCGAGATATCAAAATTTAGAGCCTCGTGGACCTTCTTCTTCAACTAGAGGCTTTCTGGTAAACGGCAATACCCTTTTCTTTCACTTTCTCCTATCTTTCCGAATCTGAAACTCACCTGGAGAAGATCGACAATGGCGATCAATAGAAGACTCTTATCTCTTCTATTCCTCTTAGCAGCTGTATCATCAATCGTGGCAGCTTCGTTTTCCCATTCGGATTCCGATTCAGATCTTATCAACGAGCTTGTTTCTCTCAGATCAGCCTCCGAATCAGGCGTAATCCATCTCGACGACCATGGTATATCCAAATTCCTCACCTCCGCTTCCACCCCTAGACCTTATTCTATGCTCGTCTTCTTCGACGCTACTCAGCTACACAGCAAAAGCGAGCTTCGTCTACAGGAGCTCCGCCGCGAGTTCGGCATCGTCTCCGTTTCCTTCCTCGCAAACAACAACGGATCCGATGCGACCAAGCTTTTCTTCTGCGAGATCGAGTTCTCGAAGGCCCAATCTTCGTTCCAGCTCTTCGGCGTTAACGCTCTCCCTCACATCCGCCTTGTTGCCCCTTCGATTTCGAACCTCCGCGACGAATCCGGTCAAATGGACCAATCGGATTTCTCTCGTTTAGCGGAATCCATGGCGGAGTTCGTCGAGCAGCGAACAAAGCTCACCGTCGGTCCAATCCAACGGCCGCCGCTTCTTTCCAGGGCGCAGATCGGTGTCATCGTAGCGTTGATCGTTATCGCTACTCCGTTCGTCATCAAACGGATCCTAAAAGGAGAAACTCTTCTCCATGACCGTAGGCTTTGGTTATCAGGTGCCATTTTCATCTACTTCTTCAGCGTCGCTGGTACAATGCACAACATCATCAGGAAAATGCCAATGTTTCTCCAGGATCGTAACGATCCGAACAAGCTCGTCTTCTTCTACCAAGGATCTGGGATGCAGCTTGGAGCTGAGGGATTCGCTGTGGGGTTCTTGTACACCGTGGTTGGATTGCTCTTGGCGTTTGTCACCAACGTGCTTGTTCGAGTAAAGAACATCACTGCACAGAGATTGGTAATGCTTTTGGCTCTGTTCATATCGTTCTGGGCTGTGAAGAAAGTTGTGTACTTGGATAATTGGAAGACTGGATATGGGATTCATCCGTACTGGCCATCAAGTTGGCGTTAAGCCACTCTTTGAGGAGTGTTTATCACAAAAGGTAATGGATTTAGTTTTCGAAAACATTTTCTGAAAGTTGAGTAATGATATTTTGGACATTTTTGTGTTTTCAAATTCGAATACTTTGAATCAGTGTAGTACAATCTCAGATGGTTTACACTCATTACTGCTATACTAAGTTCTTGTTAGTCTGTCTCCACATTTGTCAAATTGTTAGGATTATAGAAATATTGAGTCTTGAGATCACTTCAAGATAGTTATTAGTACGGTCCCGATTGTTTGTTTGCATTTACGTTAGCATTTGCACTTGCATTACAACGCAAACGTATATGCAATGAAACAATCGGGCACTTACATTACCACTTGGAGTTTCTATGTGCCTTCAGTCTTGCTTACTGCAGTCTATTCAGAACAAGGACTTTGTGATAAGAGGATAGTGTAAGCATTATGGGACCTTTTGTGTTGTTGTTGATCTTCCTCTTCTCTTGTGGGTTTTCAATTTATGATTATCTCTTGTTGCTATCGGTTTGAGAATCAGTCGAGTCAAGATGGGTTTTGCAAGTATGAGTTCTTTGGTACAATCTAATATGATTGAGATAGAGTCAAGATGGGTTTTGCAAGTATAACTTGAAAAATGCGAATCACTCCTCTCAATTGCGAACAGGTTATGGTTTTTTGTATGTTTGTTGCGTTCATTGTATATTTTTTACATGACTCAACGAACGTTTTAGTTGTTGATTTTGCTAAAAGTTAAACGCAAACGAGAAGATTTATTTTTATTTGTAGTTTGCAATGAACAAACTTTTCTTGTGAACAAACTTAAAATGTTTCATATAATTTTTTAAAAAATGTTTGAATTTTAAACGCAAACAGAGGAAATGAAGTTTGAAACAATTAAGGCATATATACAGTATACTCGATAAGTTAATAATTACTATAAATTAATACTTTTTACTAGTCTTAATTTGGACTAGTGTAAAAATTAATAAATTTTGATAAGATAATAAAATAATAATTTTTTAAAATTCTTATATAAAAATATAATCTCAATAATTAGATAAATTAATAATTATACATTTTAGCATATATAAATAATATAATATAGTAAATTAAATTATTGTTTCAAGTTAATAAAAATTGTTTGACTTATTTTTCAAATTCACTGATATGATATTTTCTAAATAAATTTGATATTGTTAAAAATATTTTTTTTTGTTTTTGACAAACATTTTAAATTTGAACTGAAATATTTTTCTATAAATTAATAAAATATTAATATTTTGATAAATTAATTATTAATTTATTAACAATTAATTAATAACTCTATAAATTAATAAATTTTTGAAGTGTCAACATTATTAATCTATAGAGGTTTTACTGTATTTGTTCGATCAAACATATATGGCCTCGACATAATTAAATTATTGGTGCATATCCTCTTTGGATTTATGCATAATCTTGACTTGCCTCATTCGATCCACTTCATGCATACGCAAAAAGCTGTTTTATAAGAATAAACATTGATGTGAGCTTTTTATGTAACTTTTAAATGATATCTGTTAGACTGTTACTTTTGGGGTTTTGTCGATTTTGGATCTTTACTTTTACATGCACATTGTAATGACTAATATAGTTTTGAAGGTGTTATTTAGTAAAATTTAGACAAATAAATAATTGAAAATTAAATTAAAAATTTTGACGGTGAAAATTGATTAAACCCAAAGACAAGAGGTGTCTTGAAAGTGACTAAGCATAATTTTCAACCTATATAAACAAAATAAAATACAGCTGTCTCACCTAGTCACATTGTATGTTATTACAAATTTACAATCTAAGACAGTGACGATTGCATATACATATATATTTCGTATGCCTTATCTATCCATTTATAGAGAAATACACAACGTGAAGGCCACAACTCAAAAATCTCAACATGTGTAGCTTTCGAAATTTCTAAAAAAAAAAATCATAAGGCTAATCATTTGATTTGCCGGCAATATATTTTCTGTTGCGCCTTTTATAATAAGTATAGTTATAATTAATACAATGATAAAGGACAGCTTTCTTATTGATTATTAGAGGAAAGACAATTATTAACCACCAAAAAGAATAGTCATCTTTTGAGTAAAAAATATTTTAAGTAAATCAGATTACTGTGGTCTTCAGAAAATACGGATGCATTTTGGTAACGTAAACTAACTAAAGAATCTGTTTTCTTTCATATACTTATTTTTCAGTTTATTATAGTTTTTCAAGTTGTTAGACCAAATCTTTTGCAGTGCATATATAATGGTTTAGTTGATGAATTTTTTTTTTTAAAATTGATTTCCGACCAAAGCAAATTATATAGTTGAACCAATTTTATAAAACACAAAGACCTCTACACAAGTTGTTAGCCACTATGCTGGTTTCCTCGAACGGCTAAGATTCTTTCCTTCATGGGATTATATGAACCTTCTTTGTGATCCCAAAGAGAAACAATAAGTAAAAAAAAAAACAGAAAAAATGATAATTATAATTAATTATATGTAGTGTTAACCTACTTCAATCGTAAAATATTTGTTACAGTATTGTTGATATTATTTGCTATTTATGCGAAAACTAAATCAAGTATACGAGCGAAATATGTTACAAAAACTTGATTAACACTTAACACCCCTTTTCTTAATTTTCGAATGAAACAAAACATTTATTGTATTTGAGTGGATGATAAATTAGTGATCGGGTGGAATTAGTAGTTGAACTAAAACTCGTGGAATGTGGAATGGATTTACCTAAACCTTTAACTAATTTACTTATACATACCATCTTGAAATGAAACATTATTCGCCTTGTCCTTATCGGATAAGATATTCGTTTTTCTGTTTTCTGTTAAAAAATATACAAATTTTGTATTCTCCAATAATTGATCAAGAATATACTTCATCTTTTTATATAATAGATTACCACTACTCTCCTTCGTGTCTCCTCCAATTTTATATTTTGTCTTTAAATATCATGCCAATATCACAAAAGAGCATTTTGTCTCTTATTCTTTCTCTTCTTCATTTTCATCTTCTTCTTCTTCTTCTTCTTCATCTTTTCTCTAACTCATTTCCAGTTTTCTTTCTCTAATTTATACTTTTGTAAACAAAATTTTAATTTGTTCTTTCCAACAGTATCGTAAGTGTTTCGGATCTTTACAAGTAGATAGAAATTTATTGTCTTTTTTTCGGATTAGAGAATGGCTACAAGATTCAAAGGGCTTTATCACAAGAGCTTCAAGTGTTTCTCCGACATTTTCGGTAAATCGATTAATACACATATCAAATCATTCTAATGATTACAAAATGGATTCAATGAGAATTTTCTTCTGTAGATGAGAAGGAGGAGGAGATGGAAATTGGATATCCAACAGATGTTCGACACGTGTCGCATATCGGTTGGGACAGTTCATCGAGTAGTGCACCAAGTTGGGTAATTTTTTTTTTTCTCAATTACAACGTTAATAGTTGTTTGTTAAGTCTGAAATGGTTTAACTTTTTCGTACAGCTACATGAGTTCAAGACGAGCAACAACGTTTTAGAGCCAAATTCATCGTGGCCGTATCAAGGCAAGTTATTTTCTTCCTTTTTGATGAATAATTTATATTCCTATATTGTTCAATTTTGTGCGTATGTCAACGATGAATGATCAAGCGTTTCATACATTATTATTCCTCGTTGAAATTTCTATTGATAAAAATGATTTAAGTGTCGACAAAAAAGGGTAAGATTTGAACAGGTCTATATTACTTGATCGATGTATAAAGTTAATTAATAAAACAAAATATTAAGATATTATGTATATATAAGTTATTAAGTTTAGCCACATAAATAGTTAAATACTAATTTATTTATTTTTAAAATATATAGATTTGAAATCAGCCATGGAAGCATTTGGAGAACTTGAAAGCAGCAAAGAATTGGGGAGAGAATCAACAAAACAAAACCTGAAGAAGAAGCTCTCTTCAAAAGCCTCTCTATTGTGTAATCCATGGTCACCAAGATTCTCAAGATCAAGCAAGGTCCTTGCTTGATTATATTTAATTTTATTTTTCCATGCCATTGTTTATATAATAATATAGAGAAGATAGTAAGATATGATCAATTCTAATGTTTTTTTTTCATTTGAGATATTTCATCTTTCAAAAGTGTGTACAAATTATTATTTAAAGCTTATTTGCAATGATATTGGAATGGTTTTACTAATTAAGTAAGTTCTTTTTCAAGTAAGTTGAGGTATGATGATTTGATAAGGCATTACGATGTTTTTAGAACAATTTTTTATTTCCCGTATGCTATTTTAAGGGAAAACAAACAGTCAAACAAAATTGATATACCTCACTATGAACTATTTATGTACAAGTATTTGTAAATGATACTTTTCGCTGACCATTTTTTCAATTGTTAGTTAACATGAACAAACTATTCATCTAAACCGTATTTGTTTAAAATATGATTGTTCATAACTAATTTTTTGGATTATTCGTTTGTATTGGGATTTTAATTTATATTTAAAATAAATTTATCTTGGTTAGAGAAAAGGAGAGTACAATTCGAGTTTAACATCTAGTTATGAATGTGATGGAAATAAACATTGGTAACTATGGAAAAGTTAATACTATTTTCACTAGTTCTGTGGTTTTAGAGATTTTAGATGGATTCACTTATAATTTCACAACTCTTTATCCTTTGTTTTTACACGCTTCTTCTCATCCCTCCAAATGTTCTACTTCTACCATTCTACCATTGTGGATATGGCCAATATTTTCAAAGTGGACTTCTTCGGCCCTAACTCCAACCCAATAAGATCCATGACCCATAGTTAACTCCTTTGCTCTTTTGTTGGGATTCTCTAGGCTTTTTCTATGGTGGGCCTGTCAAGCCTAAAAATTTCTTCCCTTGTAAGAGATCTATTTCATCACACTCTTTTGTTAAGGAGAAAGCCATACCATTAACTTTCTTCTGTATGGAAAATGATTTTAAAGATTTGTTCACTTCACTTTAATTGCAGAAAAACTAGTATCATCATCAAAACCACAGCAGCTTCGAGAGTGTCATATCGACTTCAAATTAGTCAATTCCAAAGCATTTCAGAAAGAGCTTATCGATTCATTCTTCCATCAAATTATGATTTTGTAGAAGCGGACTCTCTGACAAAGAGTTTCCTGTTTTCGTATGCTGTTGTAACCAAAATTATGATTTTGTATTTTCCTTCAACTTAGAGCTTTTTTTATTGGTACTCTCTTAATTGGTATCTAATTAAGCATTAAAATATTTTAAAAACGATAAAGTATGTGAGAAAAGTGAGAACTGAGAAGCAGTTGAGATTTGAGAAACTCAAAAGTCAAAACAGTCTCTTGTGATATTTTTATGAGTGGTTCAACTACTTTTTAAAAGTTAAAATATAATTGTATAATTAAATTAGATCTAAATATTAATAATTTATTGTTCAAAACTTCATTTAAAATTCTTAAACGATGGAAATGCTCTTATGATTTTGCATTTTCCCTCATGCAATATTTCGTAAACATTTGGATGTACAATTGCTCACAATTTCATTAATAAAACACTCTTCCCTGTTGGATAAGCTTTGACAAGTTTTGACAACAAACAACCTAAGTTGCTTAAACCAAGTTAGTTTAGGATACGAAAGGTTGTTGTAATCTTAATAGATCTAGGAGTTATCTATTTCTATTTGGAATAAAATTAGCAATGTTGTGTTAACCCTATAAATAACATCTATGTCGAGTTATGACAAGGTGTGAGAAGAACTGTGTTTAGTTTTGAGTTATTTTCTAAACATAATAAAGAAAGTCATTTTTTATACTTTGCTCTTAAAAACCTTTATTTGGTAGCAGTACAATAGAACATAATAAAGAACCATAGACCTGAACGATGGAAGAAGTACAACATGACATATCTTCTATTTCGGCTCCTCACCAATAATGTGGTGTTCACAGAAGCAAGATACAATTGCTCTATCATCATGCGAAGCCGAGTTCATGGCAGCAACGGAAGCAGCAAGACAAGCTATGTGGTTTCAAGATCTCTTAAGCGAGATTACAGGTTGGAAAACAGAGCAAGTTCTCATCAAGATCGACAACATGTCCGCGATAGCACTCACTCGAAATCCGGTATTTCATGGCAAGAGTAAACACATTCATAAGTACTACCATTTTATTCGTGAATGTATTGAGAGGGAGCTCGTTGATGTGGAACATGTGCCCGGAAAAGAACAGAAAGCGGATATTCTAACGAAGGCATTGGCGCAGATCAAATTTACAGAAATGAGAAGCTTGATAGGTATTCTAAACATGTCCAAGACAAAGCCAACAAAGCTTATGAGGAAGAATGTAGGATAAGCTTTGATAAGCTTTGACAACAAACAACCTAAGTTGCTTAAACCAAGTTAGTTTAGGATAAGAAAGGTTGTTGTAATCCTAATAGATCTAAGAGTTATCTATATCTATTTGGAATAGGATTAGTAATGTTGTGTTAACCCTATAAATAACATCTATGTCGAGTTATGACAAGGTGTGAGAAAAGCTGTGTTTAGTTTTGAGTTATTTTCTAAACATAATAAAGAAAGTCATTCTTTATACTTTGCTCTTAAGAACCTTTATTCCCTGCATCTCGTATTCAACAGATTCCGCAAGAATAATTTTTCAAGGAAAGTAGGTTACTCCTCTAATTGCACCAAGTTGGTTCTGACATCATAAATTGTCTTTAACAAACAACAAAATAATAATAAATTGTACCCACCTATTAAGTTGGATTGGACTTAGCCACACAGAAAGAAAGTTGGTTGGGGTTTATTAGCTTCAGCTAAATTTTCCCATCAAATTAAATAAGGATGTCCGCAAATTAATTTTTATGGTTGATTCATGGAAATGTAGTTGTCGTAGAAGAAACAAGACTAGAACATTCTGATGTTCTGATTATATCGTCGTAATATTTTTGTGCCGTATAGATAATTTTTTACCTAATGGCGGATCCAAAAGGTATTTTAATAGGGATTACAATACAAACAATTTTTGTATTGATACAAATATATATTTTGTTTACTGATAAATTAATATTCCAATGAAGTCTCCCAAAACTTCAGCCGCACGTTGCTGTCCATCAGAGAGAGGATCATCTTATAATAGTACAATACCAAAGATACTGAATAAGTAGAATATGGGTGATGGTGTTCATGAAACTGGAAGTATACCAAAGCAGAAATTAATCATCAAAGACATTCATTAACCGGTTAAAACATCCTCAACCTCATTAAAAAGAATCACAAGTTAATTTGGGTTTCTCCGAATGCATATAATTTTCCATATATTTTAAATAGAGGTATAAATGCGTTTTTATTTCTAAAGTTAAGAGTATATATTCTTTTTATAAAATATTGCAACTAACGGAAGAAATCACAATTTGTTGAGTTGTGTAACAACGAGAAACACGAGGTGGACTAAACTAAATATATCGGGATCTGATTAACAAAAAACAAACATAAAATGAATAGTAACTGCAATTATTTTCCACTCAAACAGGATTAATGCTTTCATACATAGTGACGATGTAGCTCGTCTGTTAGCTAATAAAGAGGAGGACACAAGGTAGACGAATAAATAACTAGAGAGTGAGAGACACAGGAGAGCAAATCTCCGACATCTTCATGGACTCGTCTCAAAACGACGGCGTGTACCAGCCACTTCTCCAGCCTCACGGTGGTGATGGAACGGAATCGAGCAAAGGCGAACTAGAGAGAATACTATCCGACGTGGAAACTCCGGTGCTTCTCCGCCTGCGTAAGGCGACGATGATTGAATCGAAGCTGCTCTTCAAGCTTGCCGCGCCTGCCGTCATCGTCTACATGATAAACTACTTAATGTCCATGTCCACTCAAATATTCTCCGGCCATCTCGGAAACTTACAACTCGCCGCCGCTTCTCTCGGAAACACCGGAATCCAAGTCTTCGCCTACGGTCTCATGGTAACCGAAATGATCTATTGCCTATTGGTTATGTTTTGCACAATGATCTAAATACTGTTCGGCCTCGATAGCACAGTAGAAACTTTGTCAATTAATAATATAGAAATTGTGAAATTTAAATTTAAATAATTATTAATTTCTCAATTTTTAATAAACAAATAATTTTTTGATAATTCTTTTTAGATTAAAGAAAATTTATAATATTTTTTAAACTTTCATTTTAAAATTAGAAATGAGTTGTAAAAATATTTTAATTTTAATAAAGAAAAAATCCGTAATATACTCATATCTTAGTAAATTATCATATATATAAATATATTTGTATAAGATTATGTTTATGTAATTTATACTCATATTTTAGTAAACTGTATAAAGAAAACAATCCATAATATACTTATATTTTAGTAAATCATCATATATATATTAATAAAATTATCTTACTATTTTATCAATTTATATAATATATTTAAGATATTAATAAAACCATATATTTATATAATTTTTTGAAAAAATCATATTATCTTACTATTTTATTAATTTTTTTAATCTTATTATTTTACCAAACATATTATTATTTTATGATTTTTTTATTAATTTATCGAGTTTCTACTTTATATATCTTAAAACATATATTAGCATATAGTTTTTTTTTTACAACATATAGTTTATTTTAAAACACTTATTATCGTATAGCTTATTTTAGAACACAAACTATCATATAGCGTATTTTATACATGTGTACCGTATAGCTTATTTTAGAACGCAGATGATCGTATAGTGTATTTTTAGAACATTGGTTTTGCATGTGTAGCTAGGAATGGGGAGTGCAGTGGAGACATTGTGCGGGCAAGCTTACGGAGGTGGAAAATACGACATGCTCGGCATCTATCTCCAAAGATCTGCCGTATTGCTTACTCTCACTGGCGTTTTCCTTACCTTGATCTACGTCTTCTCCAGGCCGATTCTCCTTCTCCTTGGCGAATCTCCGGAAATCGCTTCCGCTGCAGCTCTCTTCGTCTACGGCCTAATCCCCCAAATCTTCGCCTACGGGATGAACTTCCCGATCCAAAAGTTCTTGCAGGCACAAAGCATCGTGGCTCCGAGCGCTTACATTGCAACCGCCACTCTCTTCGTCCACCTTCTCCTAAGCTGGCTCGCGGTTTACAAGCTCGGGATGGGGCTTCTTGGAGCGTCGCTCGTGCTAAGCCTCTCGTGGTGGATCATAGTGGTGGCTCAATTCGTTTACATCGTGACGAGTGAACGGTGTCGTGTGACATGGAAAGGGTTTAGCGCACAAGCGTTCTCCGGTTTACCGGCTTTCTTCAAACTTTCCGCCGCCTCCGCTGTAATGCTCTGCCTTGAGATGTGGTATTTTCAGATCCTCGTTCTCCTTGCCGGGCTCCTCGAGAACCCGGAACTTGCTCTCGACTCTCTCTCCATTTGGTAAGTCTTTCCATATAAATTTTTCTTAGAATAATACAATAAGGGATAATTTTTTAAAATGACACATTTATCAATTTTATTACGAAATATAACATTTTCTAAAATGATTTATAAGAAGAGTTCAATAGTGTGTTTTCAGTCTGTTATTAGTCTACCAATAGTTTGTATGTAGTTTGCTATTAATCTACTAATTGACTATATTCAATTGTATAGTCAGTCAGTCTACTGATAGTTTGCATATAGTTTGTCATTAGTTTACAAATAAAAATTGTTAAAAAATAATACTGCTATTTATAAAAATCATAAAAATATCATTTTTATATTTATCTTTCAATGTGGTACTCATTTCACATTATTTATTTGTTACGAGTTTTTTTTAAATATTTTCTCTATAATATAATTCATTTATTCCATTATATTATATTTTAAAATTAAAAATGATCATGTTTAAATAAATATTTTAGAACACAATCTACCAATCGTAAAAAACACTATAGAATTTAAATAGTTAAAAGTACCAAACACGATAATCCTCTATTGAGAGACCATATTCTCTAGTTCTTTTTTTTTTTAATATAAAAGTTCCTTTAATTTTTTCTTCAAAATTCTTATGCCCTACAAATCTTTCTGATATATTTCTATCATATTGGATTGATCTTTAACAAAATTATATAATGTTCTTTGAAACGTACGATATTATATAACTTGGTATTTGTGTTCAGCATGACGATTTCAGGTTGGGTGTTTATGATATCTGTTGGATTCAATGCAGCGATAAGGTTTGTTTTTTCCCAACTTGCTCTCTTTTTTAAACAAAAGTTGGTACCCAAAAAAAAACAGAAATTTTATACCCCATATGTTTATAGTAACTCTCTGTTTTGTCATTTAATTTTGTTTAACAAATTTTTTTGTCTTCTATCTCTAATACAAAGTTTTAAACAAAATTCCAAATTTGTTTATGTTGTTCTAGCTTATTAATAAGATAGGTTAAATTTACTCTGTTGCAAAAATAAAATAATGTTTTAGCTAAACAATCAGTCAATCATGAAAAGTATTATTAGTCACGTAAATATACGTATAACTAAAACTAGAAAAAAAAAATTCCATTCTTAAAAAAAATGCGAATCTATGTATACTCAGTTCCTCTATTTTGGATTATTGAACCGTTCTATGGATTGAAGCTGTTGATATATATATAAACATCTTATAGTTTGAAATGGATAAAATAATATTTTAAGTTTATTACGTATGTTATACCTCTATGTAGAATTTTTAATATGTATACTATACATATATCTATTAAGAATTTTATCATTACTCTTATTAAGAAGATAGTGAAAATTAAAATATTTTTATTTTTTCAATTCGTGTGAAAATTATAATCTCCTTATCCAATTTATTCTCCTCAAAACTATTTGGATTCTTACAATTTAAATCTACACAAATATAATAAATCACATTGCACCCTAGCACTTTTTCCAATAAATTTAAGTACTGTGTGTAAATATTTGATTTTGATATGTTGATCCAGTGTAAGAGTGAGCAATGAACTCGGAGCTGGGAATCCTAAATCAGCAGCGTTTTCTGTGATTGTTGTCAACTTTTATTCCTTATTTGTATGCGTGATCTTAGCCATTATTCTTTTGGTGTGTCGTGACGTTTTGAGCTATGCGTTTACTGAGGGTGAAAAAGTCTCGGCTGCTGTTTCTGATTTATGCCCGCTTCTTGCCGTAACTGTTGTGCTTAATGGAATCCAACCCGTCCTTTCCGGTAAAATGCTTTTACTTTAATTTATTTTATAATTTGTCAACTGTAATAAAGAAAAATGTGTTTAGAAACTCTTTTTTTTTTTATGATTTAAGGTGTTGCGATTGGATGCGGTTGGCAAACGTTTGTTGCGAAAGTTAACGTGGGATGTTACTACATAATCGGAATTCCTCTTGGAGTTCTCTTTGGGTTTTACTTCAAATATGATGCCAAGGCAAGATACTCTTCCTTGCTTTTTTCATTTCATACATTTGGCATTTAATTGTTCTATTGATAATGATTCTTGTATTCTATTGTGAGAATAATAAATTTGTTGATTTTATAGGGTATCTGGATAGGGATGATCTGTGGTACACTTATACAAACAGTTATTTTGGCGTGGGTCACATTGAAAACAGATTGGGTCAAAGAGGCAAGTGTTCTTAAACATTTTTCAGCCATCACGTTTGCATTTGCCAACATGTATATTTCATTGATTTTATACACTTACAAAAATAATTAGATATTAATCATGTTTGTTTCAGGTGGAAGACGCTTCTAAGAGGTTGGACAAATGGAGCAACAAGAAACCAGGAGTGGTTTCCAAGTGATGAAATGTACGTTTGGTATCCACTGAACCGATTGATTCATCGGTTTAATGAGAACATATGCAAATGCTCAAGATTACCTATGAACTGGTACTACAGAAAATGTTTTTGTTTTAATATATATATTAAATCCTCTACCATTCGATTTAAGCTTTCATTAATTTAAGTCCTACATTCAAATAAATAATATGTTTGTAATGTATTTTTGTATGCCAAATAATAAAAAAGCTCATTGCTTTACTATATACGACTCCAAAATCCTAATTTCTTGGATTGGATAGATCCTAATTTTTAATAAAAATTCCCTTACAACTTTTAGTCTAGTGGTATTTTCTTAGATTGAAATCATTCAATGTTTCTCTTTTAATTCCAAGTTTTGAATGTAAAAGATATTAGGACCTTGTTTTACCATAAAAAAAAATGGGTAGGGTCAGCACTAAGAGAAATATCGTCGGGCTAAAAAAGCTGAAAACTTGATATATCAAATAAAGTAACCACATCTTAATACAATTAACTAGGTGATCGGTCTGCACCCGTGTGCGGACTATAACATATTTTGTATTTTTATTTTGTAAGAAATATTGCATATATGAATATTTGTAATTGTATATAATGAATTAAACACTAAGTGATATTATTGTCAGCACATTTAACAATTCAAAATAAGTAAAAACTATCAAATATTCCAATAGAAAGTGTTACATAATAATTGTAATACTGTTTAACTAAATAAACAGTTTTAAACGTAAGAACATATAATAAAGTCAAGATAAACGGTTTTACACGTGAGAACATATGTTTAAACTGTTTAACTAAATAAACGGTTTTCCAAAAGAAGCAGTTCAAACTATCAAGATAACCCAATTCAAGATTAGTATTTTGTGACCAAGAAGATGAAAACTGAAAAGTCAGAATAAATGAATTATTTAATTTCGTGCTTCATGTTATGTTTAAGCATATGAACCTTTTTCGACTTCTTTCTCTATAATTGGTGGTTTGCTAATGATATTTTTTTATTTCGAATTAAGTTTAGTTATTTTATTACGATCGCCGTTTCTTAAGTGCTCAAGTGTATGCTTTATTTTACAGTTTATAGATTGTTCTTCCATGCTAAATTTAACGTCTCTAACAATATTTACTAATGCATCACGATTTTGATAGACCACCCAAATCTATTTTTTTCGAATAGTGTTAATTATGTATTTCGTTTACTTTTTTTTATTACATCGACATTGAATTAATTATTTTAATTGTAAGAATCAATAATATTTTGAATCAATTGTAAGGAAGGACCAATTAATAATATATCAAAAGTAATCAATAACCAAATATTTGGGATGATTTTTTTGGGATATGATTTAGAATTAGAACAATATATATTAATGCACAACAATTTTGATGGACTGCCCAAATCTTTTTTTAAGAAAAATGCATCTACAGTAGAAACTCTATTAGTTAATAATATTGAGACTTTGATATTTTATTAATTTATTGATTTTGGATAAAATAAATTATTTACTAATAATTAATTAAAAATAATATTTTGTTTAAAATTTATAATATTTTCCAAAATTTTTATTATAAAATTAGAAATAAATAATTAAAATGTTTCAATTTTAATATGAAAATAATAATATAATGATATTTTAATAGATTACCATAATTATATATTTATATAAAATTATTATATATGATATTTATTAATTTATGATATTAATGGGACTATATTTTATATAGATTTTCAAAAACAAATTATGGCCATATTAATTTATCGATTTGTATTAAAATTTGAACTGGCCTAACTCGGGACTGAACAAAATAATTGAAATATCGAGTTTATTAATTTATCGAATATTAATTTATAGAGTTTCTACTGTATCTCGTGATGTATCTCGTGATTTGTATACATTTGTAAATGTAATTCATTCTCATTTTTACTTGAAGATTTTAACCAGTTATAATGTTATTATACTGTAATAAATTACTTACATTTATGTTTATTTTAAATATGGATATAAACAAGCATTAGTATTTGTTTGATGATTTGGTGCTTAACGATTGAAAATATATTATTTCTTATTATTATAGAAAAGTGTGGTAATTCAATTAAGTTTATTTCATAAATTATGTTATTCGAATCTCAAAACAAATGTATGCATGGAAACAACATGCATTGACAATATAATCATTACTACCGAGGTCTTAAAAAATATATGTTTCTCTAATTTAGCATGCTTACAACAGCCACATATATATAATATATTAAATTTTGGTAACAAAATCATGTGGTTAGAACAAATCATGAAATGGCACAAATCACTCTTTGACTGATGTTACTTGGATGAAAATTAACAGTTTCATATTCAATTGCTATCCCGAGCATTGCTATTGTACTTGTAAGGACCTTTCCCATTGATGAGTACTCCATCAGGCAGACTAAGAAAGCAAACAGAGTTTCACCAATATAAAGACATTGGAACTAACTAACAATCAAGAAGAGCACGTTAAAGTACTGATACCGAGGGAAGTTACCTGGCCAGCATTGCGAGAATCTGGATATGATCTTAAGGCATTCCCCATAAGCATCAATAGCCATAGTTATATTTCCAGCATCTCTGTAAATAAAAAGTAATGACGCTTAGGACCAGTTGATTGGCGGGCTTAATAGATGCACAAAAACAAGAAAAGTCATCAGCTGTTACATGAAGCTCAAAATAGTTAATTGAGCATCGTTAACACAGGTTCTATTCCTACCTTATGATTTTCAAGAACTTCTGAAACATCTCTAGAATAAGATCATCGCACTCCAAGTCCAACATCACCAAGGATGATCTAACCTTAGAAACAGTATCAAGCACAACCTCGGCTTTCCTGTAACTGCGAGAGGTGGCATCTTGTAGTTTTCCAAAGGCTCCAACTGTCACCTTGAAAGTTTCCTGTAAGCCAAAGAATTGTTTGTAAAGTTGGATAATTTTTTTTGAAGAAAACATAACAAAAAGAAACGAATTGTGTTGTTGAAATCGTGGAATCCACCTGTATATCAACCTTCATTTGGTCAGTAATCCTCATAATCTCGGTTAAGCACGAGACAACGAAAACCCAAACATCAGAGTCAGGGTTTCTTAAGAGTTCAGCAGATACCAAAGCATTCATTGATGGAATAAGGGCATTATTCACTGCTGCAATAGGATCTTGCTCGACAGTGGAGAGCAGAGACTCGATTTCCTGCACAGAGAAGCGTCGAAATCAGATGACTGAACATCAAATACCGCAGAGAGAAATCTCTTCTATGGATTCGAAAACCAACATAGCCCTAAAAGGTTTCACATGAAATTCAAATGAAATAAACAATCGAGTCTACAAAAAAAATCAAATCGAATTCAAATGAAATTGAGGTGATGAACGTTCGAATACAAGCAAGCTTTACCAGGAAATGCGATCGGCCCAGGGGAGGCGGTTAAATCGTTTGACGGCGAGCAAGCGCCATAATCAAGCCTATATGCCGGAATGCAATCGAGAAATCGCTTTTACGGATCTGGTGGGAAGAATTGCTGTTTTGACAAGGTGGAGAATAGAGAGTCGGGGTCTTGGTTGAGAATAGAAAATCTTGTAAGATAAGGCCGAAGTAAAGTTTCTTTCATCGTTTTGTTTATTCTTTTTAAAGATGATGTGTACAAAACTTCCATATTTATTTATAAAAAACACCAAGTCATATTTACAGGTCATTAATTATTTGCACTAACTTTGGCTGTAGGCTTGACAACTCAGATTTTTTCAATAATTCTACTTCTTAAATAATGATTAGGTGGATTAACCCCCTTTGCGTTCAGATACGAAGAAAATTTTGATAATGCAATATCTGAAATGATCTACATCTCTCCACATACTTGTGTCTTTGAAATCTCTTGCTCTAGTTGTGGTATGGTTAATGCCGACTTTCTTAAAAATATAAACAAAAATAATAAAAATACCCACTTAATCCATGCATTGATAGAATTAGTGAGAGTGTTTTTCCTTACGTAACCATTTATATGGAGTTTTAAAAGCCATATAGATCTCTTGCTTAATGTAAGTATGAAAAACCATTATAAGAACTTGAACAAAAAACATTAAACCCAAAAAAAGTAGAAAGACAAATTCTTGTTAGTTACTAGACTTCTTTTTGTCATCTGTTTGCTACTAGTAGAGTAAATGTCAGATTTATTCCATGCCAATAAAGTTACGCATGACCATGTGCTCTGATGCTGATATGGGAATGGGCATCCTTTTAAGTCTTGACTCTTGACGAATGGACTCAAAAAGCATAATGCTTCGTTCGTATGGGCTAAACATGTGTAGTATGATCGGGCCCGTTTCTAGTATCGTTATATTTTTAGGAAGTAACGAATGTGTAGATACAGTCTTGTCGTCTTGGTACGAAGAAGGGGAATGGAAACGATAGTGTGCTCAGTCACCAAGTCTTAAAAAGATACTATAAAATGCAGAAATTTAGAGGATTTCTAATGGTGAAACTCTTAATTAGAGTATCTGATCAATATTTTATTAATAAAATCTGATAATATAATTAAAATTTATATTTTAAAAATCTGAACTAATTACATAATAGTGTTTTGGTTAGAAGCGTTTCTAAAATCTCTTGATAAAGAACCGTTTTTTATTTCTCTCTTTTCATTTTTATTATTATTAAAAAATTCATGTTAAAACCTCCATTGGAGATAGTATTATACAAGTCAAATCTCATATTTTTAGAACACTTCTATTAATTTAGAACATCACCATTGGTAAATTTCTAAAAATAAAGTTCTTATCTTTAATTTAATAATATTATATAATTAATTTTATTTTATTTTTAAAAGATAAACCAATTAGATGATGTCAAATGATTAGAAATCGTTTCTAAAACCTCTTGAATAAGAAGCTGATCTCATCATTTCTTCTCTATTTTTTTTTTTAAAATTTTTTTGATTTTTTGATTTTTTAGAAACTGGGTTTAAAACCTCAGCGCTCTTAAAAACTTGTAAAAGTATCTAAACAATATACCAATATTATTTTAATTTAATTCAACTATAATATTTAATTTAAATATATAATTTAATTTAACTATATAATTTAGTTTTAATAAAAGAATTTAATTAATGAAAATGTTATATGTGATGTGACAGGTTTTTAAGTATCTCAAATGAAAATTTCTGAAAACAGCTCTACGAATGAAAAGAGGTTTTATCATCTATTATCTATATAATATTAATATAAGCTATTTATCTAATTAATATTTAAAATATAGAAGGAAAAAATTAATAATGAATGTAAAAAACAGTTCTTAAAGTTTCTCAAATAAAAAGTATATACTTTTTCTTTCTTCCTTATTTTTTTCATATTATTATTCATCAAATATGTTTTTCTAAAATATCTATTTTATTTCTCTTTCATGCTTTTTATTATTTTTTTTGTTATTTTGGAGTTGAGATATCCTCTTGTAATATCTTTGATGGACATACTCTTACATATATACATGAGAATGCTTATTAGTTGAAATACATTCATGATTATTTGACAAATATAATATTAATTGTTTTAATATAATTTAATTATATAATTATTAAAATAATTAATATTATATTTGTCAAATAATCATGAATGTATTTCAACTAATAAGCATTCTCATGTATATATGTAAGAGTATGTCCATCAAATAATCATGAATGTATTTTAATATAATTTAATTATATAATTAAATTTTAAATTGAAAATGATGCAAACTAGTCATAAAGTAATTTTGAACTTATAAATTCATATAATGGCGAACCCCTGGCTCGCTGCTGCTCGTGTTTCCGGTGTGACTCCGACTTCAGTTTCGACTGCAGGCAGCTCCTCTCCTTCTCTCCTCCTCCCTCCAGACCCTCCTGACCCTTCCCATCCTTTGAATATCTCCAATTTCCCCCTTCTTTCTTCTCCTTCCTCCCCTTCCTCTCCATCTCAGGATTCCTCTCTAACTGCTTATGTTGAGCCGGAGAATGTGGTCCTTGCTCTTCCTGCCCACCATGTATGTAGACCTGTTGTCGTTAAAACCAACCCCAACCTTTTCTCTAACCTTCTCAAAGAAGCTGTAGCTGTAAACCCTAGATCTAGATTGTCTACAGTGTCAAATTCGTCTCGCATCGCGTTTGTTGCGGATTCCCCTTCTAAGGGCCTTATTTCGCTACCCTCTACTCAGGTTCCACTTGTTGCTGGTGAATCTGGGGATACTCCGCCTGCTTTTGCTATTGAGACAACTTTAGACCGTACCATTGGTACTAAACCAACTTTGACTACTCCAGCCACTAGAACCCCTTCTCAGAATGTACCCTCTAAACCTGTTTCTCCTCCGTCTCAATCCGTCCCTGGTTCTACTATCCCAGTGAGAAATTCTATGCCCCTATCCCCTACCCATTTCAACCCTCCCCCTGTGAATGACGCTACAAAAACTTGGGCACAAAAACTAAAGAGTGATGTGGATCGTACCTTAACGAGGTTAGCTCCTTTGGCTTACTCTCCTGAAGGCATACCTAGAGTGGCAATTCCTGACTCTGTGTTTCAAGAAGGTGCAAATCTTCACAAAGATTTCATCATTTGCCGTTTCAAAGGTAGACCTCCAACTTTCAAGCACGTCCAAAATGTCTTAAGCCATATGTGGGGTCGAGGACAACGGCTTGAAATCCACATGAATCCTATCAACCGCTCAATGTTAGTCAGAATCCCAAATGCGTTTATTCGTAACAAAGTTCTTGAAAAGAAACTGTGGTACATTGGAGAATGTATGTTTCTAGTATCTCAATGGGACTCAACTGGCGGTGCTTCTGAGGATCTTGATGCTATTCCAATTTGGGCACACTTAAAAGGAATGCCATTCGACCTAATGTATGACAAAGGGATCAGCTTAGTGGCTGGGTTAGTTGGTGAACCTAAAGAGACAGATGAGTTTACAAAGAACTTGGTAAGCTTAATTGTTGCTCATGTGAAGGTGGAAGTCAATCTGAATAAACCTCTACCATCGTCTGTGGAGGTGCTTCGTCAGGATGGATCTATCCTAATTGTGAACGTGGAATATCCATGGGTCCCTCCTACTTGCTCCAACTGCAAAGAGCTTGGTCATGTCATCAGATACTGCCATTATCTTCCCCCTCCTTCGGTTCCAGCCAGGTCTGAGGTTCCTCGGAAAGAAACAGGGAAAGCTCCTGCAAGTCCGGGTCCGAGTACCTCTAATATTGTTCCTCCTCAAGCAGAGAATCCACCTGTTGCTTCAAATGTCCTCTCACCTGAAACTGAAACCATCGTTAGCTTGCAGTCTACTCTTGAGACAAATAAAACTAATTGTGGTTCAAATTTATTATATTCTACCCCCGCCACTAGTTCTTTACCCCCCCAAACCTCCACTGAGGCTTTTATTTCGGTTTCCAAAAATCAAGCTACCTCGGAGTCCAAAATGATTCATGTGCCTTCTTTGCAAACACCCACCTCAAACTCTTTCTCGATACTCAATACACAAATCACCCATGAACCTTCTGTTTTTTTGCATAATACAACCCCTTCCTCTCCAAATTCCTCACCACGATCTTCTGACATGGTGATTGATTTCTCCTCTCCTCCCAACCATTCTCTTTCGTCGGAAATACTTCCCCCTGTGGGAGTAAATCCTCATCTTTCTTGATGTGTACAAAAACCTTTTTTTGGAATGTCCGTGGACTAAATATTCCGGATAAACATCAGCTTTTTCTTAATTATATTACTTTAATTCAACCCCTTTTTGGTGCTATTCTAGAAACTCATATCAAAGAACCAAATTTGAACCATATTATGAATCTTACTTGTCCTGGTTGGAACTTTGCTACTAATCACCATTCAGATGAAGATGGAAGAATCATTGTTATTTGGAAGCCCCCGGCTGTAATCTCTATTCTCCGGCAGTCCAAGCAACACATGACCTGTCATGTCACAATACCAGGACATCAATCGTTCTACTATACTGCTGTTTATGCCTCAAATCTTAGTGTTGAAATAGCAGACCTATGGTGTGATTTGATTGAAGTTCAGCATAACCTTTCTCTTGATGCTTGTCCGTGGATTGTATGTGGCGATTTTAATCAGATTATCCATCCTATGGAACACTCGGCTATAGAGGTTAACCATCTTACTACTGACATGATGGAAATGAGGGACTGTCTGATGCAATTGGAACTGTATGATCTCCGCTACCAGGGGCCCACTTTCACTTGGACAAATAAGCAGCCGGCTAACCCAGTTGCTAAGAAACTTGATAGACTTCTTGTCAATAACCATTGGCTCTCTTCTTATCTAGACAGCGTGGCCAGCTTCTTGCCCCCTGATTTTTCTGATCATGCCCCTTGCCTCCTAAACCTTGCCTCCCCTCTTCCCCTTGCTGGGACTAAACCTTTCAAATTCATAAATTTCCTAGCTAAACACCCTTCCTTCCTTCCCCTGATTGAAGCTGCTTGGAGTCTTGCTGGAAACACATATCACCACGAGTCAAGTTTATCAGTACTGTGTGCAAAACTCAAGTCACTAAAAAGCGAGCTAAAAACATTGAGTAGAGAGACTTTTTCAGATATCCAAAAGAGAGTGAGAGACACTAACGAATTACTCCATTCTGCGCAGGTGCAAGCGCTCACTAATCCAAGTCCGACCATTTTTCAGCAGGAAAGAGACCTAAATGAGACGCTAGATAGGCTTAGAAACATCGAAGAAGCCTATTTCAGACAAAAATCTCGGATAAACTGGTTGAAAGAGGGTGATCAGAACTCGGCTTACTTCTTCAGAATTTGCCAGATGCAGAATTGTTATAATGCGATCAGATCCTTCTCCACACCTTCAGGTCGTCTAATCCTTGATCCCCAGGAAATGTGTACTCTTGCTGTTTCACACTTCAAAACCATTCTTGCACCGGTGATTCTAACCCCTCTCTTCTGCCCACCTACTTGGATTCAAAGTCTTGTTAGCTATTGTTGTAGTGATGCCATGAAACAGAGTATGCTCTCACTGCCTTCGGCTGAGGAAATTACAAAAGTTTTATTTAAACTTAACCCAAACAAGGCACCAGGTCCAGATGGTCTTAGCTCTGCTTTCTTCAAAGCTGCTTGGAGTGTTGTGGGTGGGGAAGTCGTCGAAAGTGTCAGTGGTTTCTTCCGTACTGCCTTTATGCCAACTGCAACGAATGCTACTATTCTCTCGCTGGTACCAAAGCACCCAGGTTCCTCTATTATCTCTGATTTTCGTCCCATCTCGTGCTGCAACACCATATACAAGGTAATCTCTAAACTCCTGGTCAAAAGATTAAAGCCGGCGTTACCGCAGTGTATCATGAAGAACCAAACAGCGTTTGTTCATGGGAGACTCTTAGTGGAAAATTCTTTACTAGCTGCAGAAATTGTTCAAGGATACCACAAATCAAAGGGACCTAAACGTATTACTATCAAAGTGGATATAGCTAAGGCTTTTGACACAATCAGATGGGAATTCATTTTCAGTTGCCTAAGAGGAATTGAAGTACCTGAAATGTTCATCCGTTGGCTCCAAGGCTGTGTGTGTACTCCTTCGTTCTCAGTCGGTTATAATGGCAATGTGCACGGGTTTTTTAAAGGAAAGAGGGGTCTACGCCAAGGGGATCCGTTGTCTCCATATCTGTTTGTCTTGGCAATGAACTGCCTCTCAGAAATGTTAGACAAAGCTGCTTCAGAGGGCCTTTTCAACTATCATCATAAATGCAAAGATTCAAAAGTTACTCACCTTTGTTTTGCAGATGATTTACTAATCTTCCTTGATGGTTCGATTTCCTCTGTCCAGAATGTACTGATGGTTCTAAGGAATTTTGAGTCTGTCTCCGGCCTTGCAATAAACATCAGTAAGACGAGCTTCTACTCTGCGGGTCTCCTTCAACCTGAAATTGATTCAGTCACACGAATATCAGGCTTAAGATATGGTATTTTACCTGTCCGTTATCTTGGACTACCACTGTGTACCAAAAAACTTACCCTTCTGGACTGCGCACCTCTTATTCAAAGGGTAAAGAGCCGCTTAAATGCCTGGACAACAAAGCTTCTCTCTTTCGCAGGCAGACTACAACTGATAAATTCAGTTATTTCGGGAATAACCAATTTCTGGTGCTCAGCTTTTATTCTTCGCAAGCGTTGCATTGTCATAGTGAATTCTCTTTGCAGTGCTTTCCTGTGGAAAGGTACCACAGAGGGTCATCACTCGGCGAAGGTAGCCTGGTCAATAGTCACCAGGCCAAAAGCGGAAGGAGGACTAGGTGTTCGGGACTTATTTTTATGGAATAAGGCTTGTCTGTTAAAGCTTATATGGCTTCTTTTCTTCAAGGCTGGTTCCATCTGGGTGGCTTGGTTTAGGAAAGTAATCCTCTCTGATTTCCTTGGTAACTTCTGGTCACAGAAGCCAAGTCAAAAATTCTCCTGGTTAGTTAATAAGTTACTGAAATCTAGAGAAGAAGTTTACCCTTGGATCAGAATGAAGGTTGGGAATGGTCAGTTGTGTCGGTTCTGGATTGACAATTGGAGTCCATTTGGCCAAATGACAGTGTATCTAGGAGAAGAAGGCCCTCGTCAGGTGGGAATTACTAGTAATGCGAAGCTATCAGATTTGTGGAGATTAGATTCTTGGCACCTCCCACCTGCAAGATCAGAAAAACAACTAAACTTTCAGATCTATCTCTCCTCAATGCAACTGTCATCTGTTGAGGATGCGTATGAATGGTGGATTGATAATAAAGCAAAGAATAGACATAACATCGGTAGCATCTACTCGACCATTATCGATCATCACCCATCAGTTACCTGGAGCGGAGTGGTTTGGTACTCTGGTGGTATTCCTAAGCATAAATTTCTCACTTGGCTGTTTGTTTTGAATCGATGCCCAACAAGGGATAAAATGAGAAGCTGGGGTCTCCAAGTTGATCCTCTATGCTTACTGTGTGCTTCTGCAAATGAGACTCGCGACCACCTTCTGTTCGAATGCTCTTACTCTTGGGAGATCTGGACCAGAATCAGCCGCTGCTGCAGTCATCAACCTCAGGGGACATGGACAGAAACACTAGAGTATCTTTGTAGCCTTCAAGGATCTGGGATCTCAAAGAAACTCCTACTAATATCTTGGCAAGCCACGATTTACAGTATTTGGGTAGAAAGGAACCACAGGCTACACAGAAACACAGCAAAATCCACTACTATGATTATCAATCAGATCGCCCGCTTAGTAGGAACAGAGCTTCAAGCTTTCGTGATCACAACCCATCTTTATCCTCTTCGCTTCTTCAACTTTGGTTTCAGGGAACAGCTGCGATCTAGATCGGAGTTTCTAAGAGACGAAAATCTATAAATCCATACAAAACGGTTGGTATGGTATGAATTACTCTCAACCAACTTCTCGGTTTGATTACTACTATTTGGTTCAAATTTCTAGTTCTTTGTTAACTAAATGAGTTTCTCTAGTTGTATTATTTGGGCTTCCAAAACTGGGTCATATTTGAGCTCTGTAACATTTTCTTTCTCATGCTTTTAATTGAATATCCATTTTCAAAAAAAAAAAAAAAAAACTAGTCATAAAGTAATAAGAGTTATAAGAGTATCTCTTTCCTATTTTTTTTAATTTTTATTATTTCATCTAATAATAAGATACTTTTTTAGATATCTGTAATGAAATTGCTCTAAAACACATACTTTATTTAATTATTTAAAATTCTCCCACTTGATGAAAAGTGAACAGTTGAAAAAAATATTTAAAAACTATATTAACAATAAAAAATAAAAAATAAAAAATACCTTATGTAAAATGTGAACAACGCAACAATGAAAAGGATTTGGGATTCAATATCAGTCGTTAGTGTTGTCCATTTCCCAATGAGGCTCGTTCATGATCATTTAACCTTTTTTGTTTACTGTTTTAGGTTCTATCGTAGTAGACCTAAAAGTACCACGGGACAAAAGAAAAGACCATCCAAAAAACAGCATAATTTATAAAATGCCGTGAAGATAATAAAGTTTAAATACATTTGAAGTAGTGTAATCTTTTAACATAAATTCTGCAAATGGGATAATTTCAATTTTCAAAAAATTGTATAGTTTTTTGTTGGTCAAAAAACAAATATCGTATAGTTTCAAATTCTTTAATTTTCAAAACAGTAACTTTTCTTCTCTTATGCCATTTAAGCTGTTTTTTTTACTGTTTCGAACATGGTATAAATGGTTTGACCTAGTTTGATTTGGTTTCACTAAATTCACCTTTTATCTCTGTTGTGTTAAATCTAATATAATCTACTACACATTATTTGAGAAGTAACATTATTGAAAATAGCTGACTTGTCAACACTACAGCCAAAATTAGTGCTTTTAATTGATGACATGTAAATGTGACATGTCAAACTTCCTAAAATAAATGAAATGTTTTTATTGGTTGAATTAAAATTATAGAAATTATAGAATTAAAACATAAATGCACTAGATTATAATTATAACACTAAAATTAACAAATTTATATTAATAGAAAATAATTATTATTATAATTTCAATTTTTTACATACATTTATAATTTAATCCACTACATATTATTTGAGAAGTAACATTATTGAAAATTGCTTACTTGTCAACACTACAATCAAAGTTAGTGCTTTTAATTGATGACATGTAAATGTGACATGTCAAACTTCCTAAAATAAACGAAATGTTTTGATTGGTTGAATTGAAATTATAGAAATTATGGAATTAAAACATAAATAAACTAAATTATATTTATAACACTAAAATTAACAGAAAATAAAAGCTATTATAATTTTAATTTTTACATATATTCATAATTTCATAAAAATAATTACGAAATTTTTTCATCAATATATATATATATATTATAATTTTATATAAAAATAAAAATAATATTAAATTATCCATTAGAATAGTAAAAATTATATTTATTAATAATACTTTAAGTATGATATATTTTTATTTCGGAAAGTTATTAATTAAATCTAAAAAAGTTTTAAATAAAAAAATTATTAAATAAAATTTTAAATAAAATACAATCATGATAAAAATAATTTAAAGAATAAAATGTTAAAAATAATAAAAATAAATAACTTTTATTGATGTTTTTAAAAAAAATGTAATTTAAAAAAAATATTTTCAAACCAATATTTACTAAATGAATAAAGTATATACTAATTATTATTTTATAATATTAATAGAACCATATATTTTTCTATAATTTTTATCATCTTTTTATTGTTATTTTCTAAAATGTGCATAACTTATGTTACCATCTCATCTTATCTCTTATCATATTTTAAATAAAAATAAAATTTTACATCATATTAATATATATATATATACATAATTTTGTTTTCATTGTATATTAAAATTTTGAGATCATAAATGAATTGAAAAATAACCGAACGAAAGAATAAATTATAATAAGATGAAACAATATGAATAAGAGATAAAAATAGAAGTATATAAAAATAAATTTCTCGCCCTTTGTTTTACATAGTCACTTAGAAAATTTTTAACACGTAAGAGCCATATGTCAATTTTTTTACAAATACGCGTACATATATAAATATTAGTTGTACATTAGTTGAAGTCACATGCGAACTTTTTGTGCATGTATTTTGTTAAGATTGATTACAGTCTAATTTTTATTTTAATTATTATCTAATTTATATTTTTTAAAAAATCTTTATTATTCTAAGTGTAATAAAGTGATTGGTATGCCCGCACATGCGTGCAAACAATCTATCCGCTCTTAGGAATAAGTAAAAATAGTAAAAACTATTTCAGTTTAATTTGCAATAAATCAAGAAAAATATATACTTAAAATATATTATATATGTATTTACAAACTCATATTATGTAAGACGCAAAAAAGTATATTGTAAATTGTGTAAGGAGAAATAAAGCATATTAATATTATAAGAATTTAATTATTATTTAACATAACTTTTATATTTGTGATTATATACTATTACAAGCATTATAAAAATAAAAAATTTTAAAATACATTGATTTCAGAAAGAAGTTTGTGAAATATTAAAACAATATATATATATATATATATATATATACAAACATACAAATGTTTAAAATTTAAATATTATAATTAACTATGTATATCAAAAAATTATACCCGCACATATGTGCGGGCCAACCACCTAGTTGTTAAATTAATCAACGACTAATATTTCATGGAGCGACCACGCAGATAAATCAAATGATCAATTTGGAAAGCGAAATTTCTGATTATTAGTTTATTTCCCTAATATATTATGAACTTTCCTAGGAAAAATTTTAGCCGTCGAAAATGAACCAAGTTTACCTGACCTATAAACACACACATACATATACATGCAAAGGCCACATGTGTTGTGTGAATCAGTGTGTTGGTGAAGAGAGATCTTGTCGTGTAATGAGAGTTGCATGTGTTCAACAACTTCGTTGTGCTTTGTAATTTTCCTTTGAGACATTTTCTACGGTGAGAATTCAACTTGCAATGTTACATCAAAGTTGAAGCTGTACGTCCCACATGTGACCAGATCCTCTTTCATTTCGACGGTCCAAATTAACGTTACATATATACAAAAATACACATTTTCAAGACTTATTTGCGCATAAATAAAACATTATATGTTAGTTCTAATGAGCTTAAAAGAGAGCTGATGTCTTCCAATTTTACCTATAACCTTCTTAAAATGATGATCTGATCGACGACCTAATCAAGACCAACTTAACTTAACTAAACAGAAAGATATGCGTGTTCATATGTTCTTTAAATTTAAGATGAATTCCATATAAATGGGAAAAAGTTAACTTTGTATATATTTTATAATTTCTCTGGATTTGGCACATCGTTTATTTGGTTAAAAGAATATATTAATTTCATTAAATATCTTAACTTACATATAACATATTGTTTGGTCACGTACGTTACTCATTGACTCGTGTGAGTCTTGACAACTATTGGCGGCAAGAAAATAATAATCATGGTCGAAAATATGTTTAGTCCAACAAAGGATGTGAAAATAAAAATTAAGGCCGAAAATATATTTCGTGGTTATATTTTATATATATTGCCTCAAATACTTTCAGATTATGGTCTCTGAACATATAAGACAACAAAAAGATGAACGTTACAGATCTTTCCTATATGCAACTTATTTTTAAAACAGAATGATAAATACAAATAAAAAGACTCGGTAGGTTCAATCGTGCAAGAAAGTTATACTATATTTGCTTTCTTGGTTAACGTCAGACCAAAAGACTAAAGTCACTAAATTCTCTTGGTTTGTTCATTGTCTCATCGATTCTAAATTCTCTCTGTAAACTTCGTTGGTGGAATAGCGGAAAAAAAATGATTCCGCGAAAAAATTGTCAATCAGAAAATCTTGTGGAAAAACGTCAAAATTCGAGTTCTACGGAATGACAGAAATACTTAAAAAAATACAAAGAAAATTTGATTAAGTGGAAAAGTGTATTTCAAGTAGCTTATTTGCAGAATCAATATTTTATATCATTCAATTATATAATTAATTAAATAAATATAATTCTACTGCATATATTTATATAATGATCAAATTATATCTGTGGATTAAATTTTGTATTATATTTATATATCTTATAGTAAATAAAAATAAAAATAAAAATAAATAATTACAATAAAAGTTTTATTTTTTTAATTATATTAAAATTATGTTTTTATAATAATTAATATTTTAATTTTTATTATATCAAATTATATACAAAATATATTATTATGAAAAATTAATTTTATATATTTTTTGTCATTTTGCCATTCTGCAGTATTTATCTAATCATATCAAAAATAATTATTCTGCTGTTTTGCATTCCGCCATTTCGCAGCTTAATTTTTTTTACTATTCCATGGTTTTATTGTGTTACCAATCGGAGCTAAATTTCAATTTGTTTCACTAAAGTCACTAAACTACAGTTTTCTTAATATTCTTAACTGTAGTTTCATTTGTTAATATAACCAACTATGTATATGATTATTAACCTTAACTAACTTTTAATTGATATTTATATGGCTTGAACGCAAAACCGGTCCAAACTTTAACGGACTATAAAGTTTGACGAAAATACCCATGCAGTAAGCCACCAACATACCGTAACATTAAAGGGTACTTTCGTAATTAAAAAAGATCTGAATTCTGTTTTGTCGTTACCCTTTCCCTCCTCTGTTCTCAACATCCTCAAGATCTCCTTATAAATTCTCTTCTTCTACCTTTTCCATTTTCCAAAACAAAACCAAACTTCTCTCTTCTATCTCTTCTCTCTCTCATACTCACGTAGAAATCATCGTCTTCATCAAAAGCAATGATCTCTTCAATTAAACCGGCTTCATCCTCCTTCTCCGCCGTCTTCGGTGGCTTAAAGCGGTCAATTCCGATAAAGCTCTGTTTTTCTCCTTTAAACATCATTAGAAACTCCAACAACCAAAGCTTTAATATCTCCCATCAAAACCCTCTCCACATTTCATCTACACAGAGCTTTTCGAATTTCAAGCGTGAGGTCAGAGTCGAAGCTTTCGAGGCGGATCGATCTCGTCCCCTCGACATCAACATCGAGCTTCCGAACGAACAATCGGCGCAGAAGCTGAAAATCGGAATCTATTTCGCGACTTGGTGGGCTCTTAACGTTGTCTTCAACATCTACAACAAGAAAGTTCTCAATGCTTTTCCTTACCCGTGGCTAACTTCGACGTTGTCTCTCGCTTGTGGGTCTCTCATGATGCTCGTCTCTTGGGCCACTAGAATCGCTGAAGCTCCTAAAACTGATCTCGATTTCTGGAAAACTCTGTTCCCGGTATGAAAATTTTAGGGCTTTATTCTCATAAAGTTTGTTCCTTGGCAGATTTCGTCTCGTTTTATGCCAAATTCTGGAAAAGTTTCGACCTTTTCTTAAAATTTAGAGTCTGATTTCTGTAAAGCTCTGTTTTTGGGCAAGAATTTCTGGAAAAAGTGTCGATCTTTGCTGAAAACTGAGAGTTCGATTTCCTTAAAGCTCTGTTTTGGGCAAGAATTTCTGGAAAAAGTGTCGATCTTTACTGAAATCTGAGAGTTCGATTTCCTTAAAACTCTGTTTTTGGGTAAGAATTTAGGGTTTAGTGGATGGGTTTTATTCTCTTTTGGTTAAAAAACTCTTTTTGATCAAACTAATCTAGAAATCTTGAAAACTCTGTTTTCCGGTGATAACTAGAAACTGAGACTGTCAAATTTTAAAAACCAGAACTTTGGTTTGAATCGTTTGGTTGTCTGATAAAGAAGTGTGTATCTTTTGATGTTCCTTCTCTTCAGGTGGCTGTGGCACACACGATAGGACACGTGGCAGCAACAGTGAGTATGTCAAAAGTAGCAGTTTCCTTCACGCACATCATCAAAAGTGGTGAACCAGCTTTCAGCGTGTTGGTCTCAAGATTCTTCTTGGGAGAGACTTTCCCTCTTCCGGTCTATCTTTCTCTCTTACCCATCATCGGAGGCTGCGCTCTCGCAGCAGTCACAGAGCTTAACTTCAACATCATCGGTACAAAACAAACAACACATCACATTGTACTTGTTGTAACAACACATCTTTGATTATAGTCTGAAATGGTTTTGTTGTGGGGTTTATTTGGCAGGGTTTATGGGAGCAATGATATCGAATCTAGCATTTGTGTTTCGGAACATCTTTTCGAAGAAAGGGATGAAAGGAAAATCAGTTAGCGGAATGAACTATTACGCTTGCTTATCGATGATGTCTCTATTGATACTCACTCCATTTGCAATCGCTGTGGAAGGTCCTAAAATGTGGGCTGCTGGTTGGGAAAACGCAGTTTCTCAAATCGGACCAAACTTTGTCTGGTACGAACTTTAAAAACCAAATCAATAGTACTCTTTTTGAGTTTTCTCATTCTTTATTGAGATGCAAGTTTTTTGAATGTTTTTTGTTTGTTTTTGAATGTGGATCAGGTGGGTGATGGCACAGAGTGTGTTCTACCATTTGTATAATCAGGTCTCATACATGTCCTTAGACCAGATTTCGCCATTGACTTTCAGTATCGGTAATACCATGAAGCGGATTTCGGTTATTGTGGCTTCGATTATCATATTTCATACACCGGTTCAACCGGTTAATGCACTCGGTGCCGCCATTGCCATTCTTGGAACTTTCCTCTACTCACAGGTAAACAACACAAATGTTGTTCTTGTATATTTGGTTCTTGCATGATATGATCAAACAGCTAAAATGCTGAGTTTACTATTTTTCTCTTTGATATTATCAAAAGACTAGAAGAAATATTTGGTTATTGAGTGGATAATGTGTAGTTCTAATGATTCTTTATTAATCCTTGAGCAGGCTAAAATGTGAGGATGGTTTAGGAGGCTGTTTTATTTGTTGGGGTGGATTTTGATAAAAATGAGCTAACAAGAGTAGCCGGAGAGGAGAGAATAATCCGGTGAGATCAACATCGGAAAGTGCTTTTCCCGGTCAATGGATGTGAAGAAAGCGGAGCTTGAAGTTAGAATGTTTGCTTATTATTTTACATAGTTTGTATCATACTGAATTTTTGCACTAGACAGGGTAGATATTCTATAAATATCTTATTATAAATTCTCTTCCTTCTCTTTTGTTTCTTTTTTTTTGGGTAATGCTAATGCTAATAAAACAAATCAGACTAATTTTTGATTGAGACTATCTACTGAAGTATTCTTGTTGTATTCATCAATCCACTACATTTGTAACACACAAAAATCACAGGTGATATTGTCATATTGAATTAGTTTTCTATCGTTCTACTAAAATATTTATGATATTTGTAGTTTTCCACGATTTCAACTTTCTTTTTTTTCCAAGTGAAGCACAGTGATATGATGGGTCGAGTGGAAGCCCATGTACCCAAATGAGGACCCATCTAACCCAATATTAGGGTTCATTATCGTTAATTCGTTTGTCGGCTTTACCTTTGTAGACTCTTCTCTCCGGTTTTGGCTTTGCCTGCCAAATTAGATTTAGTTTTTTTTCTTTCTGGTCAACAGTTTATGATTCGAAATGCTTCAGAAATCCAAAACTCTGTTAGCTACTATGTAAGGTACAGTTGACCGAAAACAAAGACACAAACTCTGTTAGATCAATGCCATAAACGTAGATTTGTGTCTTTCCATACGTTCATTACACTATATCATTTGCTGTATAAATATATAACAAATTACAGCATTTATATATATGGTTTCCAAGACCATAAGTATGCAATTAAAACTATATATAGTAAGATTTGTTATTTATACTATTTTTAAAAATTTGTTAGCATATTACATATCACATTCAGAGCCAGATTGATCTCAGTCTAATTTTGCATCTTAATTCCTCCTCTATAATGATTCAAACAAATAAATGTGAAATTGCATTTCATTATATAATACAAAATATGAAATTAGTTTTTTAAAATGTGACCTTATTTTCTGCGAATCAAGTCAATACACTGAAGTTGGTGAAACGACACCCACCAAAATGAATACGTAATTCAATTCAATTTTGTAGTATGATCTTGTCGGCAGGCTAGATGGAGACATTTGTATTATCATATCCGGAAACAAAACTTTTTGGAAGTGTATACATATAAAAATGCTTTTAAATTGTGGGATTATTGGGAATGTGCTGTATTGGTCCAGAAGTTGATAAATTACTTAATGTTTTCAGGATTTGACTTACCTATAATTTTTTCCTTTTTTAAAGTATTTTTTTTTGTTTAAAAATAAAGTGTAGCAAATAGCATGTTAGATTGTGTAAGAGTTTAATTGATTTAAATATAGTGAATGTGGTGTGGCTCATCATACGTGGTCCTTTAAATGAGGGGCGTTTCCTAGCCGTACCCGTCCCTTCACCGAACCCGTGACGTGAGACGGTTATGAATGTAAAGGGTGGTATTGGTTGATTCAATTTAATAGAATGTATAAGAATTTAAAAATAATTGATTTTTAAGTAATTTAAAGTATTTTGTAGGAATTTAAATTAATTCTATCAAAATTCTAGTAAAAATAGTAGAAATTGGTTCTTAACAATTTTTAGGTGGAATTCTATTAAATTCTTTCCAAATGATAATACAAGCAAAACTATTACATAATTGAATAACAAAGATATTTAATAGAATTGAAAAATTAGTATATTGAATAACAATGATATTTAAAAGATTTTGAAATAATGTATAGAAATTCTTAATCCAATAACACAAGTATTTAAAGGAATTGATAAAATATAATATATCATTGAATAACACTGATATTTAATAGAAATTTTAATTCTTTTCAATTCAATCCAAATTCTAAATCCAATACCCCACTTTAAATTCTCATACTTAACACATTTTTTTTAGAATTTAAATACGATTTTAATGGTTGGAAAAAAAAGAGATGAATATATTAAAATTCGATATAGTATTCACTTTTATTGTTGTTTTACCAATTAAAAGAGTGGTTTAACTCTTTAACAAAATATTTATTTATTTATATAAATATTTTTTTTTTCTATTTTACATCGAGTTCTATGTAAAACAAGTACTTCCTCTGTTTTTTAAAGATTGATATTTAACAGCTTTCACACATATTAAAATATAATAATTCTTATCTTTATTAATTATTTATATTTTTACTTTTAATTACTTTTTTGGTTTTCAATATAAATAAACTAATAGTTTGATTTTATTTCATCTTGTAAAACTAAATATATTGATTAAAATGTAACACATCAATCTTTCAAAAACAAAAATAAAATCTACAACATCAACTTTTAAAAAATAGAGAGAGTATATCATTTGTCCAAAAACAATATAGTGCAAATTCCCTAAAAGATAATACTCCAGAATTTGAGGGGTTTCGACTGTTCAGTCCTTTGTTCCGCCCAAACTTATCTTTATCGAATCAAGAGACCCTCATGAGTCATGGGCTCACCTACTTCCACTTGCTTTCTCTACTAATTTTGGGATTTTCTAATAAGTGTTAGTATATTATATATATATATATAGATAGATTTTTGCCTATTATATATATTTAGTAGACAGAATTGATAATTTCAAAATAATGGAGAGTTAGCTACCAAAATAGATTTTTTTTTTGTTCGAAGCTACCAAAATAGATAAGAGCACAAAAATACCTCTGAAGAGTGAAGACAGACACACACAAGAGAACCAACAGGAATGCAAACTTTAGCCAGTTTCGTAGTTATTATCATCTTATTACAAAGCTTATTGTTTCATGTTTACGGTATTCACAAAACTTCTTCACACAACATTTTAAAAGATTCATCTCCATTTCCTTCTGATTTCCTCTTTGGCACAGCTTCTTCCGCTTACCAGGTACTTCTTCTTCTTCTTTCATTTGATATTTTTTTAAAAAATCAATTACTTTTAAAGTCTAATTTCAGTTTTCAAAATTGCATTTGTTTTTATTTCAAGATTTTTTGTTTTGTTTAATAGAGGTAACTGTTAATTTTGAAATTGCATAAATGTTACCTCTACTAATAAATGTTACCTCTACTAATGAAAAATAAATGTTACCTCTACTATTTTAGTATGAAGGTGCGTACTTGACAGATGGAAAAGGTTTAAACAATTGGGATGTCTTTACACATGAACACCCTGGTATATATGCATATTTTTCTTTTAGTAAAGGTATGCATTTTACTTTGTTTATACACTTTATTCGATTGACAAATAAATGGGAAAATGCAGGGGAAATACTGGATGAGAACAATGGCGATATAGCTGTGGATCAATATCATCAGTTTATGGTTATTTTTTTATAATAGTTTTTTTACCTTTTTTCTCCTGTCAACTTCTTCAATTTATATTATATCTTAAACCTTTAAAAAAAATATTTACTATACATGCATAGGAGGACATCCAGTTAATGACTTTCCTTGGAGTGAACAGTTACAGATTTTCAATTTCTTGGTCTAGAGTCTTACCTAGTAAGTTCTCTTTTACTTACACAGGTTTATTACTGTACATTGCATTGCATGGTTAAAAAATATTATTCGAGTGATTGATAATATACTAACAAAAAAATGACATATCAAAAAGTTGGAACTTGAACTTACGTATCGATTATAAAATAACCATAAGCTTAATTATTATTTGGGAGACATGCAAAGCTTATTATTTGGGAGACATGCAGGAGGGACATTTGGAGGGATTAATTATTCGGGAATAAAGTATTACAACACATTAATAGATGCTCTCATTAGTAAAGGTAACATTTATTTTTAGTATCATTAATTAGTTGGGAAAAAAAATCCGTAATTATAGTAATTATCATTAAATCAGTATAATGTACTACAGGGATTAAACCATTTGTGACTTTGAACCATGTGGACTATCCTCAAGAACTCGAGAACCGGTTTCAAAGTTGGTTAAGCCCAAAGATGCAGTGAGGGGTTAAACAGAATTTCTAATCCGTTGACCCTTATTATTTATATTTGCAATATCACTAACTTCTTTTAGCATTTTTGTTTATTAGGAACGAATTTGGGTATTTGGCTGATATATGTTTTAAGCATTTTGGAGACAGAGTTAAGTACTGGACAACGATAAACGAACCAAATCATATGTTAATCTTGGGCTATATATCGGGTACTTTCCCACCATGTCGCTGCACTTCACCGTACGGAAATTGTAGCCAGGGGAATTCAGAAACCGAACCTTTCATAGCCGCGCATAACATGATTCTCGCACACGTAAAAGCGGTTAACATATACCGAACCAAATATCAGGTAATAAGCCGTACATATAATGTAATCTTAATTTGGTGTGCGATATTAATGGAAAATATAATGTTTATTTTTGTGTGTGTAGAAAACACAAAAGGGAAGCATTGGCATTGTGGTGCAAACATCATGGTTTGAACCTATAAGCGATTCCATTGTGGATAAAGAAGCTGCAGAGAGAGCTCAATCGTTTTACTCGAATTGGTATCTTTTATTACTACTTATGAGATCATACATTAAGAGATGAGTATGTATAATTAATTCACATATCAATATTCAGTATTGTCTTATCTATTGTTACATACTAGGTTTCTAGATCCCGTTATATATGGGAAATATCCAAAAGAAATGGTGAATATACTTGGACCAGCCTTACCGCGATTTTCGAGCAATGAAGTGAAGAACTTAAAGAACTCAAGAGCAGATTTCATTGGTATTAATCACTATACAAGTTACTTCGTCCAAGACTGTTTGATATCTACTTGTAATTCCGGATACGGAGCCTTTAAAGCCGAAGGATTTGCTCGCAAATTAGACCGGAAGGGCAATGTGACCATTGGAGAACTTGTAAGTACCTTCATAGCGATTTGCAAAATATATATTCGAATGTTTTAAAAAACATTTTTTGGTTGTTTGAATGACCAATGTTTTATTTTCTTCAATTACAGACCGACATAGGTTGGCAGCACATTTATCCAGAAGGCTTCCGAAAGATGTTGAATTACATAAAAGATCGGTACCCAAACATACCGTTATTCATAACTGAAAACGGTACAATACATCAACATTTAATCAATGATCAAGTCATAATTAATGCCTAGAGTATTTATGAAATTATCAACTATAAATATTATATATTGATGGCTGGAAGGTTTTGGAGACTTGCAAAAACCTGAAATGACGGTTAAAGAACTTCTACATGATACAAAAAGGATTCAATACATGAGTGGATACTTAGAAGCTTTACAAGCAGCAATGAGGTAATAAAATTATTTTAATTTTGCGTTTCTTAATTAGTCTTTGAAGCAGTTTATCTAGTGCCCATATTACTAATTCTATATAAGTTGATTATTTTTGGTAGGGATGGAGCAAATGTAAAGGGTTATTTTGTGTGGTCACTATTAGATAATTTTGAGTGGTTGTCCGGTTACAAGGTTCGGTTTGGGCTATTCCACGTGGATCTTACAACTCTTAAAAGGACACCGAAACAATCAGCTTCTTGGTACAAAATTTTTATCGAGGAACAACACGTTCATACAGAAGATCTCATAGTGAAATAAACAATACATTCATTCCTAATTAGTATTCTCAATCAAATAAAGTCAAACTACGAAAACTTGAAAAACTTTATTATTGCTGGACTTATCTGATCAATATTTGTTATTCTTCTGAGTGAATGTTTGATGTCTTACATGACTATTTTTCTAATCTTACACTATAAATTATTAGCATAAAATAATTACTGTATAATTAAATTTGCCTATGCGTCCATTTTATGGAAACATTTATACGTCGATGCCTTATAATAACTATGCAAAAAGTCCAAGAAATGCAATGGATTATAGTAGTAGGTAGAAATAATAGGGGTCTTCGTGGTGGAGAATGTTACAGATCGCTATTTTATATGAGTTTGAAAAGTTTTGTCCTCAAGATTCTTCTGTCGTTTGTGGTCGCGTTGCAATCGTTTACTAACATTTATCTCAGCTAATTCTCAAGTTTCATCTTTTTAATATATTCGTTTAGTAACATCTACAAAGAACTCCATGGAATCATTTATGACATCCAAAATCCATCTTGGTTTTTCGACTTTTGCCTTTTCTGTTTTACTTCACCAGATCCAAATACTTTAGCTGATTCTTTAGCAAAGGAAGTACTCGAGTTGTATTGTACCAAACCGATTTAAAACATTTAATGAGATAAATCAACCATTTGAAAAAAAAAATATGTTTTTTTCCAATTGTAAGATTTTGTCTAGCAATTTTAAACTTTAATTATTTTTAATATATGTACCAATTTTAGTCAATCAACACAACAATAACACTCATGTTTCTCCATAGCTTGACACATCAGCTTTTTGAAGCTTTATAAACATGACACCTCAGCAAAAATAATCACCAATCAAAATATTTTATTAATACAATTCTTTTACTTATTTTTAAATTTTAAACTTAAACTCTTTAAAAACCCAAATACATTTTCTATTAATTTTATTTTATTTTTTACCAACACAAATCCAAATAATTAATAACAACAAATAAAAAAATCTTTATTTTATTTTTTACGAAACTTAAGCCCAAATAATAAATAACAACAAATAAAAAAATTTTGTTCTATTTTTTGCCAAACCTAAATCCAAATAATAAATAACAATAAATAAATTATAATAAAAAATTTCTGGCTATCTGTTTATTTGACAGAGACGTATATGATTAAAAAAAGTGTAGGCTCAGCATCAACCATGCTTCGACGAAAAAACAAATTTTCTTGGCTTTGGCGGGAATAAGAAATTTCTCTGTTTTGCCGGGAGTAGGGGATTTCTTGATTTCTGTAGAAAAATGTGATTTTCAGTTTTGGTAGCATAATATAATTTCTCGGTTATGGCGAAAAAAATAAATTCTCAGGTTTGGCGGAAAAATGTGAATTGTAGATTTTGGTGAGAAAACAAACAAAAATTAATTTTTACGGAAAAATAAAATATCTTAGTTTTGACGGAAAAATGCGATTTTCGGTTTTGATGCGGAATGCAACTTTTCAATTTTGACGAAAATGCGATTTCTCAGTTTTGATAGGAAATGCAAATTTTCGACTTTTGACCAATTTCTTGGTTTTCACGCAAAAATGTGATTTATTAGTTTTAACAGGAAATTGCAATTTAATGATTTTGGCGGAAAATACAATTTCTCGGTTTGATGAGAAAACAAAATTTCTAGGTTTTGGAGGAAATAAACAATTTCTCGGTTTAGATGAGAAATGCAAATTTTCAGCTTTTGAGGAATAATGATTTTTTGGCTTTCGCAGGAAAATACAATTTCTTAGTTTTCGCGGTAAAATACAATTTCTTAGTTTTCGCGGGAAAACACAATTTCTCGGGGATAATGCAATTTTTGGTTTTCGCGAGAAATTGTAGTTTATCTTTTGGTAGGAAAGCGTGATTTTTGGTTTAACGAGAAAAATGATTTTTTTTTTGTTTTGGCCGGAGTAGACGATTTCTTGGTTTTTGCAGGAAAATATTTTTTTTGGTTTTGACGGAAAAATACGATTTTTTTTTGTTTTTGCACGAAGATAAAATTTTTTGGTCTTAGTGAAAAAACGTGATTTCTCGGTTTTGGTGGAAATACGATTTCTCGGTTTTTGTAAAAAGATGAAATTTCTCTATGCTAAATTTCCAAATTAATGTATGTTACAATAACCAAAATTTAATTATTTAACTTTAACTAAAACGTTATTTCAAGAGTTCAAACAAAATTTTCTATTTAGTTCTAAAGCAATAGCAATGATTTTGATATGAATGTTTTTGATTATAGTTTGGTAGTTTTAAAAATATATGTTTATAATAAATATTTGATAAATAAATAAATTTTATAATTCACGATAATCCTATTAATTAATAAATCTTTTTTTATAAATGGTATTTTGCTTTATATAATTACAAAGGAGGATCAAGTGGTAATTTATTGGAGAAAATAGATTATATTTACCATTAACATAAATGTACTAAAAATATATTATTTTATTATTACATATACATTTATAATTAGTTAGCTAAACAAATTTAATAGCAAATTATAATTTTGAAAAATAAAAAAATATACAATATTTATCAGATTTAAAACATATAAATAACTTTAGCTGATAAAAAAATAAATACAATACTCATTTATATTATAAAAATAATTTTATTATATTAAAAATATATATAAAATTTGGAAAAATATCACGCAGCGCAGCGCAGGTAAATACCTAATTTTTTTTATAGTAACTACAAAACAGTAAATTTGTTCATCGATTTTATCCAACCCTATCAAACTTTCGATGCAAGACAAATAATTTAAAGAATTTGGCTACAAATTATCCATAGCAACTAAGGTTGCTAACCAGACCTCTTGAAGATTGTCGTAATGTAAATATTAATGATTTTCTGTTTTTTTAAAGGTTTGGCGTCAGATAAATAATAGAATAACAAAAAAAAAATTGTTAATGAACTGAATATAATTTCTGTAAAATAATTATTAAAAACTCAATTTAAAAAAAAATGAATTACGTTTTGGCATGTACTTATATTGTTAACATACTAATTGTATATAACATAATCATTAAAAGCGTAAATATATATACCATTTGTCGCCAATATCTTTAAATATGTGGCTGTAACATTATCACCAAGGTGATTCACTTTTCTCCAACTGCGTAACTATCTTTGCTGCATAATATTTTATTTTATGTGTTAGATGCATATATTTTTCTACAAAATTTTTGTTCATTGGTATAATTTTCAAAAAAAAAAATTAAAATTAAAATTTGATCCCATGCATGTTTCTGAATAAATAAGGTTACATTCAGAATTCTAAACAAATAATCATATAAAAATTTATAAACGATCATTTCGATGCAACTATGCAACATATGATCTAGTAGCTGTTTCTTGGTACCGTTGTAGAAACCTTTTATTCTTTCTTTTTTAAAACAACAGAAACCTTTTATTCTATGGAGTTTAAAATACAAGGAAGCAAGTACGGAATCTTGGGGGTGTATTTGACATAAGAGTTATTTAAGATAATTAAGCGGCTGTGGGATATTGGTTAGAGTTGGTAAATTACAGACTAGGTAACACTATTAGCTAATTAATTAATACACAGCGAGTCGTTAAACAATTGAAGAAAAAGACACACGACCAAATGATAGCAGAAATAGTATATTAGCAAAACGGGGTCGGGATCAACAATAAATATATTATGGTTGCGTGGTTGATGAATTCCTTTCGTCTCTTAACAGAAAGAGCGTTTCTTGGTAAATAAATAGACGTCAACGTCTTTGCATTATCGTTTAAAAGATATAGAGAGAAAATAATTACAAAAAAATGATGTGTCAATAAGAAAAACAAATTTAAATTCATATCATTTAATTTAATCAATCAGAATTCTAAATTAGTTTAAAAAAGAAAACAATTTGTTCAATTTTTCATACAAATGAACCGAAGTTCAATACACAGTATTTCACTACTTAAACTAAAAAACCAATTTTTCGTAGAATTCTTTTGGAATTTGATGGTATTAGAATCCGGATTCAAAAAGCAAATTATATTGAGTTTAATATATTACTTATCTCTTATTATTATTATATCCTTTATTTAACCATATTTTATATTTTAATTTTTAGATGTAAAAAATAAAACATACTCATCTCTTATTATTATTATATCCTCTATTTAACTATATTATATATTTTAATTTTTAGATTTAAAAATAAATCATTCTATGATTTAAAAATTCGGTAACCCATTTACAATCTATATAGTTTAATATATATTCTTAACACATATCTTCTAAACCTGCGTATGGCGTGGAACAAAGAACTAGTAAACTATATAACATTGATTAATCATGAAAAATCATGTTTATTCATCAACTTAAAAAATTAAAATATGTGATTGTATTTTAAATTACCATATGGTTTCCATCGGTGATATCTTTCTTTGATTATTTCTCTGAACTACGCTCCATATAGTTTAGATACCTCTTTCCAAATCTATTAGTATTATCATTTTACTATAGCTAAAGAGTTTGGAGAAAAGAAGATGCCTCTTTCCAAATTTATTAGTATCATCACTTTTTCTCTCTTAATTTTCATCTTTCTTGCGGTATACGCAACCTTGTTCTACGACCTTTGTTCGGACACTGGAAACCTCAAAGGTTATGAAGCTAGCAAAAGCCACGTCACCAACCATATCCTCAGCCGCCGCACCATCAACCCCTTCACCAAACCGGTCAATATTCTCCGCCGCGCCACCACTTGGTGTTCAAAATCGTAAGTATTAGTTTTATGTTTATGTTCAATTCTTAGTGTGTTGCAAAGGAATTGTGAAGAAGTGTAACGATTTTGTTATGTTTTAGTCGTTGATTATGTATATTGTAAATTATTGAGGTATTTATTTGAGAGAAATTTCAAATGATTTAATTCCTATGGTCGCTCCAAATGAAAACAGTGATCTAAAATCAGTAAAGAACATTTCTTATATGTATATTTTATTATTCAAAACTTCAAATAGTATTAAAATCTTAAAAATGTGTTGAATTGTATTAAATGTTTTCTAAAGTTAACTATTTAATAATACAAAAGTTTTGGTTGCTTTAAGCCTTTAATGATCTAAACCATTATTCTCAAAATAAATTAAATAAGCATAAAGACTTAAAACAGAAAATTTGGGGCCCATATCTACTGCAGAAGGAGTATTAAAGAAGTAAAATCAGAAGAAGAAAAAAAAAATAACGTAGTTAGACGGAGTTGTTACTTGTTAGGCAGAAGTTCATATTTTATAGTTTTATGATTATATTTGGAACTGCGTGATATGCTATACTTTTAAACAAATTGATGTATAGTTCATCATATTTGATAGGTTTGAATATATTCAGTAGGTCGAAATCGGAGACTTTAATAATTAGATAAGAACACACCAAATCTCAATCATGCATTCAAAATATTCTACTATTTTCATATAAATATAGACACATATAGATAAGCGTATGCTAAACCTCAAAGAAGATAAACACAAGAAAAGAAAAAAAATGAAAAGTTATGCAAACTTCGTAACGATTTTTTTATTACAAAGCTTATTGTTTCCTCTTTACAGTTCATGTCTTCATCAAACTTCTTCAAATGATTCATCATCTCCATTTCCTTCTGATTTCTTATTTGGCGCAGCGTCTTCTGCCTACCAGGTACTTGATTTTTTTTTCCCCCTTTTGTATATTCAAAATGAGATTTTTGAGTCTTGAAATTCTATTAATTTAAAAAAAAACAAAATCTTCTCTTTTTGGAATGTCTTTTCATTATGTATTCAGTATGAAGGTGCGTTCTTAACCGATGGAAAAGGTTTGAACAACTGGGATGTCTTTACTCATGAAAACCCTGGTACGTGTTTATTTGGGATTCGTTTTGGAAAAGTATAAATTGAACCATCTTGGCCTTTAAGTTTTATCTGGTTTTTAATCTGTTATCAAATTTGTTTGGGTTTAGATAAACTATACGATCATATATTTTTTAAATGAAACTTGCGGTTTAGTTCTGGATTCAAATTTGGTCCGATATTCTCTTACTTGCGTATGTTAATTTGTTAATTTGTATCTAGTTGCGTACGTATGCATAGCATACTTAAATTTACGTACAGTTTTTGTTTTTTTGACTAAGATTAAATTTACGTACACTTTCAGTTTTAATCTATTTTTTTTTGTCCGCAAGTTGTCATTTTCTTAAATCCCGCGTTTATTCCATTGACAATATTTTTTTGGTAAAATGCAGAGAAAATAATGGGTGAGAACAATGGAGATGTAGCTGTTGACCAATATCATCGATTCATGGTTAAAGCACTTTCTTATAATAATTTGCTACTTTTTTGGTTCTTTTATGTTGTGAAGAACGTGACTAATTTTATTATTTAAAATTATCCATTATATATATTCAGGAGGATATCCAATCCATGACTTATCTTGGCCTCAACAGTTACAGGTTATCAATTTCTTGGTCAAGAGTCTTACCTAGTAAGTATTTACTTTCTTAATCACGAGTCTAATAGTTGACGAAATAAATAAAGTCACGAGTCTAATAATCAAGTTCGGTTAAAATTAATTTTCTGTCCGTGACAACCTTAAAGAATACCATAAGCAAATTAAAAATGAAATGTCCTCATAGATAAACAAAAAATTACAACATTTAACTAGATAATAAAATTATCAACAAATTAAAATTTTAATTCTAACTAATTGTTAAAGAAACATTACAATTTTATTAATTTATTTCTCGATTAAATCAGTGGTTTAAGTGGAAAGAGAGAAGAAATTTACATAATTTAAATTATTTTCTTATCCTTTGCATTTGAAAAACAGTAGGGAGATATGGAGGCATTAACTATCTGGGAATAAAGCATTACAACAGATTGATCGACGCTCTCATTAGTAATGGTAATGATTACCCTCTCTTGTTCTAATCTATATTTAATGATGAATAAAATAAAAGAGTATACTTTATATAGAATTAATTTTTCAAGATGTCAAAAAAAAAAAAATTAATTTTTCATGTAAATGTTTTCCAGGGATTACTCCATTTGTGACGTTGAACCATTTTGACTATCCTCAAGAACTCGAGAACCGGTTTAAGAGTTGGTTAAGCCCCGAGATGCAGTGAGTGATTAGTGTCTCTGACTGATTAATCACATTTTACTAATTAAAACTAATTCCTCACTTATTTTTTTACTAGGAAAGAATTCGGGTACTTAGCTGATTTATGTTTCAAACATTTTGGAGACCGAGTTAAACACTGGATCACGATTAACGAACCAAATCAACAAATAATCATAAGCTATCTAAAAGGTATGTTTCCACCGTCCCGCTGCTCCATGCCGTACGGGAATTGTAGTCAGGGGAACTCCGAAACTGAGCCTTTTATAGCTGCGCATAACACGATCCTGGCACACGCAAAGGCTGTTCAAATATACCGAACCAAATATCAGGTAACAAATCGACATAACATCTATATATATATATATGTTTTTAACTATTTTATTTGTATTATTATCAAATATAAGTACGATGTGATTTTAGAAAGAGCAAAGGGGAATCATCGGCATTGTGGTGCAAACATCATGGTTTGAACCCATAAGCGATTCCATTGCGGATAAAAAAGCTGCAGAGAGAGCTCAATCATTTTACTCGAATTGGTATGTTATGTGATATAACCAGGCAGACCAAAATTTTTTTCTTAACATACTCATGTTACCTTATCTAATGTTTCAATAAAAATACCAGGATTTTGGATCCCGTTGTATATGGGAAATATCCTGAGGAAATGGTGAATATACTTGGATCTGCTTTGCCACGATTCTCTAGCAATGAAATGAAGAACCTACAGAGCTATAAATCAGATTTTTTGGGTATTAATCACTATACAAGTTACTTCATCCAAGATTGTTTGGTCTCTGCTTGTAATTCTGGAGATGGAGCTTACAAAAGCGAAGGATTCGCGCTTAAACTAGACCGAAAAGGCAATGTTCCAATAGGAGAATCTGTAAGTAGATTTGTATATGTACTTTCAAAAACTTTCATGGACTCCATATACTAATTATAGTCTATTTTTTCTAACATTACTTTCTTGAATTTTTGTGCTTGATAGACCGACGTAAGTTGGCTGCACAATGATCCTGAAGGATTTCGAAAGGTGTTGAATTACCTAAATAATAGATACCCCAACATACCAATTTTCATCACCGAAAATGGTACAATACCTCAAGAATTTTGGTTATTTTTTATTTTATTTTTTAGGAATGTATTTTGAAAAACTGCTATCGATGTTTTACAGGTCTCGGAGACTTGCAAAAACCCGAGACAACGGTGAAAGAACTTCTAAATGATACGAAAAGGATAAGCTACATGAGTGGACATTTGGATGCTTTGAAAGAAGCAATGAGGTATTGTGAATTTGAAAGTGATCCAAGTCGGTAACCTAACTATATTTAATCAGTCTTTAAACCAATTCACACATTTTCACATGGTCGCTATTATATAATTAAATAGATACTGAAATGCAAAATATAACTAAATTACTAATTCTTGGTAAGTTAATTGTAAACTCATTTGTAGGGATGGAGCAAACGTGAAGGGCTATTTCGCATGGTCGCTATTAGATAATTTCGAGTGGTTGTATGGATACAATCTTCGATTTGGGCTAATTCACGTGGATTATAAAACTCTCAAAAGAACACCAAAGCAATCAGCTTCATGGTACAAGAACTTCATTGAGCAAAACGTGAATACGGGAGATCTCACAGATAAATATTAAGTACATTTTTAAGAAGTAATTAGTGTTCCTAATCAAATGAAGTTAAAACTAGGAAGGCTTAGCTAAAAATCATCTCATTGTTGATTGTTATTGGAATGTGTCTTGTGTATCTTCTTGTACATGATTGTTTTCCTAATCTTGCACACTAATTTTATTTCAAAGATTAGTGTACAGGAAAAATTGGATATACATATATAATAAAGAAAAAATGTAAAAAGATTTCAATCCGCTTGAGGAGGTTGCTTTGGTTTTGATGGATGATGTTCATGGTGTTATAACAAGCACTCGTTATGTACGGATGTAATGTAGGCTTGCTATTTGAATAAATAGAAGGAGACACTTTGTCTCCTTCACTTGACCCAAGAAAAAAAAACACTATTAATTTTTGATATGATTTGTTTCGAGTATTGAAATGGTGGTTTACATTTGAACTGTAAATATTTCCGGATGCAAACATATCATTATGTATATGTAGGAAATTAGTTATTATTATTGATGAATATGATTAATTTGGCGCTTATCTCCACGGTCTTAAGCCGATATGAGTAAATGGCTCGTCCCACACGTTGTCATATAAGCCAAGTCAAAAATTGGTTGCAAAAGACCAGCAAAAGAATCTAAATCAATTGATTTTATTTATTTATTGATATTTCTAAATAATTGATGAATTCATACAACGAATTTATTGATATTGTTAGAAATTTATATTATCTTTGATCGATTGATTGCTTTAATTATTTGAACTTAACACATAGAATTTGATCATTAAGTTCTCGACCTCTAACCGGTATATCTCGGGTGGAAACCGTCTACCACAAACTTCCACTATATGAATTTAAAGGGTTTACACTAAACCTCTAAACTCTCTTTGTGTAACAGGTGATACCAAAGGAAGAGACACAACAAATAAGAATTAAGATCAAAGAAACTCTATTTCTCAAAGACATGACTCAAACAGTGTCTTAGGTTTCTCTCCTCCTGATCTCTCTTAACTCTCTTGCTTCTCTGGACGTTGTATATTCTGTGCTTAGAACCCTAGCTTCTTCCTCTCTTTGAAGCAGGTCTTGTTCTTCTCCTTTATACGCAAGTAATGACGGCAACTAAGATAAAACATATTGGGGCTTCTGGTCCATGAAGACAATAAACCCATAGATACGATCTGAAATCTTGTTGTCTGCATCTTCTCAGAAAATGGATGACATTCCTGGATAAATTAGCCACAACCAATTTATAAAAAGAAGCCAGTATTAGAATCACCTGATTCTGATTCTGGATTTTTATTAAAAGAAAGACTCCTCTGCTGCAGCAAGGAACAACCAATCAGCTCTAACTTGTCAGCAAATAAAACTTGGCTTGGTGTTGCGAGCTGTGTATCTGATTTCATTTCAGGTTGGTTAGACCAGGATTTGTGAAGAGCTGGTTCGTGAGTGTTGATTGAACCGGGTTTGAGCAGGGAGCAATAACTGAAGACTCTAGTCGCGATAGAGGTTTCGACACTTTAACGCTTTTGATATATAAGTGTATCTTCTTCTCTCTCCCTCTTGTATCGTCAACGCGAGTTCTTCTTCTCCGTTGATTTTCTGGAAAGCTCTGTTCTTGAGCGAACTGTAAACTCTTCTTTGATATAGTGGATTGCCGGATTGATTCGGCCCCAGGCGTAGGCTCAATCACATCGATTGAGTTGAACTGGGTAATCAAATCTCTGTGTTCTTGTATTTTCGATTCATCGATTGTGACTATTCTTAATTCTTGAGAGTGAGTTGAATCTGAGTTGAGAGCGAGTTAGAGTGAGTTCAGGTAATCGATTCCGTAGCTCGATTGAGCTCGATTTGCAACACTTGGAATAGATATGACGCTCCTTTGGATCTCCTCCAACTTGTCAAAAGCCTCTTTGGTTCTTTGCTGAATGTTACTGAGAGTTGAACGATTAAGAGCTTTGCAAGAAGTCTTAGCCATGCGAAGGCGCTGATAGAGTGAGAACATTAAAGATTTTATTGACTAGACTCTTGAAAGCTTTCATGAAAATTATCGTGCAATCGTAGATAATTTCATTCAACAAACAATAGAAAAAAACTGAAAGATTTGATCTAAAATAAAGAAAATATGAAAGATTTTTATCTATGAAAATTCCCGCTCTTTTTATCTATGAAAATTCCCGTTTTTTTTTGTTTGCATGGAAATGATTCCTTTTCTATTTATTTTTTTGTTCAAATTCCTTTTCTATTTATAAAATGTAAACCAATAGAGAAACTAAAATGCACCAAAATGCATTCCTGATGAATACGGCTATACTACACGTGATGTAAATTCATGAAAGTCTTTAGAATTATATGCGTATTAAAATATTAAGTTCTGGTTGAACCAAACTAAGGAAATGGAAACTCAAAAATACAATGATAAATAATCTAATAATCTATATTTGAATAGGTCGAAATCAAGAATTAAAAATACAAAAGGTTTATAACTTGATATATTACCTACTTTATGAATTGTTTTGGTTTCTCATGCTGCGTCGGATAGTCAACTTTAATCAACAAATTCTATCATGGCTTGCCTTATGTTTTGAAGAGAAGACAAAAAAAATGCGACTGATTTTCGGAACTAAAAAAAGGTTTATTGGAAGTATTTTAATTAGCCAAACGTGTATTTTATGCACCAATATAATGAGAGTTTTTTCGCCATAAAAATGTGCAGTTAACTTGGTTTTGTTTTACATAATTACATTTGTTAAAAAAACTGTAGAAGCTAGAATTCACTCAATTTCTTTAGATTTAATTATAAATGTATATTGAAATTTAATATCAATACACACAGCTCATTCAAATCAATATAGTATATTCAATAGGTTGGTTTTACCAAACAAAAAAAAAATCAAATTGTGTGGTTGATCAATTCCTAAGGTCTCCAACTCTCCATAGTTGATGTCTTCCTTTGAATATTTCTCTTCGACGTATGAGGTATTTGTTTATTGTTTAACTCATTTCTAATAAAATTAAGAATAATTTATAAACTAACATAGAATTTGGAATGGATAAGTTTTCATTTCAACATTTAATACATATGCACACACAAAAGACCATCAAAACTGGGAAGGCAAACACAAACACGAGCTAGAGAACCAGGCAAAATGGAAACTTCACCCATTTTCGTATTTATCATCTTAATACAAAGCTTTACGTTTAATGTGTATTGTTCATGTCTCAATCAAAATTCTTCACACAATATTTTACAAGATTCATCTCCATTTCCTTCTGATTTCCTTTTTGGCACAGCGTCTTCAGCTTACCAGGTACTTCCTTTTTTTCCTTTTCATACTTTTTGTGATCATAAAAAAAAAACAGATTTTGTGGTCAGTTTTCAAATTTCATTTGACTTCATGATCTTTAATTCTTTTTGGTTATTATTTGATGTAAATAGTATGAAGGTGCGTTCTTAGCCGAAGGGAAAGGATTGAACAACTGGGATATATTTACGCATGAAAACCCTGGTATGTATTAATTCCTGGTTTGACTCGGCTTAGTTCCGGTTTAGATTGTTAAATTATGAGAAAATCATCAACATGTTTCAAATTACTTTGTTCTGGCTTATTTGGATCACTAGCTTCGATAATTTTCCATCCCTCAGATAAAAGTTTTTGTCCAGGTTTAACTTATATATGCATGTATTATACATATATGTTTATAGAGCTACATATCTATAATCTAGCTATTATATATGTACGAGTATCAATATTACTTATATTATGTTGACAATATCAATATATTCCAGGAAAAATACGTGACGAGAACAATGGAGACATGGCTGTGGATCAATATCATCGATTTATGGTCAAATCAATTGGCTAAAGAATAATTTGGTATTTTGTTTTCCTATTAGAAAACGTGTTTCGTATTAAATTATATACTATGGTATACAGGAGGACATCCAATTAATGACTTCGCTTGGGGTCAACAGTTACAGATTTTCAATTTCTTGGTCTAGAGTCTTACCAAGTAAGAATTTCTTGATCTTATCACTGAATTTGTTTAGGAAACTGTTTAATACCTTGCAGTTGAAAACTATTACTCCCATTACTGAAATGACGAAATGTATTAAATAAAAGGTTTGTTATTTGGGTGACAGGAGGAAGATTTGGAGGTATTAATTATTCAGGAATAAAGTATTACAACAGATTAATCGATGCTCTCATTAGTCGAGGTATAATCGTATTATTTGTCTTTGACTATCTTTTATAATTGTTACCAATTTAAGTTAATGAAATTTAAGAAAATGATTTACAAAGATTAAATGCATTCAGGGATTAAACCATTCGTGACGTTGAACCATTTGGACTATCCTCAAGAACTCGAGAACCGGTTTCAAAGTTGGTTAAGCTCAGAGATGCAGTAAGTAGTTTAATAAAATCAATCCGAGCTACTGTAATCCAAATTCTAATGATCTTACATCTTTCGAGTCTTGTAGGAATGATTTCGGATACTTGGCTGATATATGTTTTAAACATTTTGGTGACCGGGTTAAACACTGGACCACATTAAACGAACCAAACCAACAAATAATCTTGAGCCATCTAAAAGGCACATTTCCACCGTCCCGCTGCTCCTTACCGTATGGCAACTGTAGTCAGGGGAACTCCGAGACTGAACCTTTCATAGCCGCACATAACACGATCCTTGCACACGCCAAGGCCGTTCACATATATCGAAGTAAATATCAGGTAACTAAAATACTGGTCGAGATAATATGTATATAATCTTAATAGTTTTTTTTTTTATCAACATAATCTTAATAGTTTTTTTGGTCTAATATTAACATAAATATGGGGTGATTTAATTAGGAAGAACAAAGGGGACTCATCGGCATTGTGGTGCAAACTTCATGGTTTGAACCCATTAGCGATTCAATTGCGGATATAGAAGCAGCACAGAGAGCTCAATCTTTTTATTCGAATTGGTATGTTCTAATGATTATATATTATAGATGTATAGGTAACTCACGTACTACATGTTCTTATGTATTATGTGCTACAATATATACCAGGATTCTAGATCCAATTATATATGGAAAATATCCTAAAGAAATGATGAATATACTTGGATCCGGCTTGCCGCGATTTTCGAGGAAGGAAGTGGAGAGCTTAAAGAAGTCCAGATTAGATTTTGTGGGCATTAATCACTATACAAGCTACTTCATTCAAGATTGTCTGGTCTCAACTTGTAATGTTGGAGATGGAGCTTTTAAAGCAGAAGGATTTGCAGTCAAGTTAGACCATAAAGGCTCTGTTTCCATAGGAGAACTTGTAAGCACATTTTGAATGATTTTTTTTTATATATATATCTAAGAAAATATTTGTACTCGTGAGTCTATTCTAATTTTTTTTCTTTCTCTTTTTGCGATAGACCGATGTGAATTGGCAGCAC